GAGCAAGACACTTAACCCCTAGTTGCTCCAGAGGCATGCAACCTCTGACATATCTAGCAATTGTAAGTCGCTTTGGGTAAAAGCGTCAGCTAAATGAATAAATGTAAAATAACCGTTTTTGAATACCGTTTAAATTTTGTTCTTTTGACCTTTTTATTCAGTAAGAGACCTGAAAAAACATATCATGATTTCCACAAAAATATTAAGAAGAAATGTTAATAAGCATTGACAATTAGGCAAGAGTTTTGGCCATTCATTTACACAAAAAATGCATACTGGGGGCCTGAAAACGCAAGCTATAGGAAATGCGTTTCAAAGTGCAAAGTTTTGAAAATGATGTCTTTACCATCTCCATGTAAACAACAAAAATGTAAATTTGTGAAAACGGTGACATCATGCTCCATGTGTATTACATGTTCGCGGATTGTTTCTTCACAAAGTATCACCAACTGGGCTGGGATAGATACAGCCTTTTAGTCATTTTCGCAGATCTGTGTGAACCAGGATTGTTTTGACGGCATTGTTGTCTCTTTTTAGTATATTGTTGTCATGTAAACATACCCTAAGACACAGGAAATCAGGATACAAGGCCTCAGAGTTGCAATTTGTTATGGCCCCGCTCAAAGGCCACAACAAAAAGAGGAAACCACACTTAAGGGATTACCAGAAAGGATGTTCATTAACAAAAGTAATTTAGTTTAACCAAAATAACAAATCATTTTTAAAACTTAACGAATGTGGCTGACAAAAAATAATGGCAGGTTAATTTAATATAATAATAATAATACATTATTTAAAAAAACAAAACAAAACAAAAAAAAAAAACACACAGCAAAAGAACAAGCAGTCCAGCCCGCATCAATCAGGAAGGGGCGGGTTTTATGCAATCTAGAGACAGTGGCCAGCTGCCTTTGATCTGCCTGATGGCCTCAGCTCCACTCACCCATGAAGTTCACCCTGCAACAAAACACAGACAGAGACACAAACACCCTGGCAGAGGCCCCTGCATGGGCCGTCACAAATGTAACAAGTCTTTGCCATGAAAGAGTGAAAACATATGCAGACATTAACCAGATAATGAGAGACAGGTGGAAGTGATCAAACAGTCCAGGCAATGGGTTATGGGAATTGAAGTTCGTTGTGGGAAAGCAAGGGAGTCTGGAGGAGTGCCCTCTGGTGGAGATCATGGGTACTCCAGCTGGTAGACGTAACAAATAGAATGATTACTGAAGGATCATGTGACACTGAAGACTGGAGTAATGATGCTGAAAATGTAGCTTTGCCATCACAGCAATAAATTACATTTTCAAATATTTTAAAATAGATACATTTATATTTAGATATAATAATATATTTAATATCATTGTGTGATTTATGAAATGCAACCTTAGTGAGCATAAGAAACTTCTTTCAAAACATTTTTAAATCTTACGGTGGTGTATGTCACTGACAGAGGGTGATTTGGTGTTGCCTTACCTCGGTACAGCAGGCATTTTGCCAGATTATTGTTTAAATGACTGAACTTTTTTATGGATTGTATTTAGCTTAAGTTAACTGCATTCAAAGCTTAAGTTAGGAGGTTAAGGCCTAGGGCATAAACTGCTAGTTGCATAAACTGTTAGTCTTACATAATTGACCGAGTTGCATAAACTGCTAGTCTTACAAGTTAGTCATCAATTTTTTTTTTCAAAACTGTTCATAACTTTTTAGAGTTAGTTAGGAATAAGTTAGTTTCACAGACTGGGTTTAGACTAAGCCATGATTAGGCCTTAGTTCAATTAGGAGATGTACAGCTTTTATACAAAACAATTGAACCAATGTATTTTAAGATATGGAAGTTACTTTCAGTTAATACAGGAGATGGTCCTCACTGCAGAACATGAAATCCAGGGGGAACTCCTCCCACCTTACATATCTTACCAATCTCCGCCCCCTGATCCCTAACCCCACCCCTAATCCTACCCATCTCCACCCCCTGATCCCTAACCCCACCCCTAATCCTACCCATCTCCACGCCCTGATCCCTAATCCCACCCCTAATCCTACCTAACCCCACCCCCTGATCCCTAATCCTACCCATCACTGATCCCTAACCCCACCCCTAACCCTACCCATCTCCACGCCCTGATCTCTAATCCCACCCCTAATCCTACCTATCTCCACCCCCTGATCCCTAACCCCACCCCTAATCCTACCCATCTCCACACCCTGATCCCCCCCCGATCCCTAACCCCACCCCTAATCCTACCATCTCCACGCCCTGATCCCTAATCCCACCCCTAATCCTACCTAACCCCACCCCCTGATCCCTAATCCTACCCATCACCACTCCCTGATCCCTACCCCGCCCCTAACCCTACCCATCTCCATGCCCTGATCCCTAATCCCACCCCTAATCCTACCTATCTCCACCCCCTGATTCCTAACCCCACCCCTAATTCCTACCCATCTCCACCCCTTAGATCTGGATCCAACTCCGCCCCCTGGATCTCGTGTACTGCAATGTGGTGCTACTGTAGAACAGCTGAAATATGCGTTTTAGTCTGGGACTATATACTGTAACATGAAATGTACAAGTATATAACTTTGAAAATGATCATTTGAATGGTAAGTATCATAACAATGTGGCCTATTGTAATATTTAAGCTCAGTTTTGGTTTCATTTCCACTGTGTTTGAGTCCTGTTTTGCCCGCCTGATTCCTCTAGTTAGTTTTCATTTGTTCTCATTTTCCCGCCACTAGTTCGTTTCCATGGTTATTTATTCACAAACATGTTTGCCTTCAGTCTCTATCTTGTGTATTTAAGATTTTCATTTTCTGGTGTTGTTGTTTTTATTGTTTTTAATTTTTTATTTGCATGCTACCTTCTTGTTTGTGGACCAAAACTGCCTGTCTAAATTCATGAATATGGTATTTATGTATAAACCATTTTCGTAACAGGGGGTCGCTGCTCCACCAATAGATATACATGCATAAATATGGCTCCACACACCAAGTGGTCCTTGGCCAGGAGGTTGAAGATTGAAGACCCATACTAACATCCTAATTTGACCAAATTGGGTGAACTCATGCTGCGTTCATGTGCTATGGTAATTATGGTAAATACCAAAAGCCGACGTGGAAAATACACATGAACACCCACTCATGTGGTATTTTCTACTGGGCAACTCGTAGAATATTTTGAGGGACGAGTTGCCGAGATGAGATAACCTTTGAACTTTTTTAAAAATGGCGGAGAGCACCGCAAGAGTCGTGAATGGTAAAAATATATACTATGTATTCATGATCTAGAAAATATAGCATAATATTTACCTTCTGAGTTTTGATAAATCATTTTCTTGCTGTTGCAGATGACTTAAGCAATCTAAAATAGTTTTAGCTAAATAACAGGTCTGGATCTCCATCTTTTTACCACATTACAACAACAACACTGGTAAATACCAATTCACAAGTGGAAAATATCCTACTTTCCATAGCACGTGAACGCAGCATCAGTCATAGTGAAATTCTTACAGCAGTTGTTTACACAGCGTTCTTCATCATGTGTATTGTTGAGGCTGGTGTGTAGGCTACTGTGTGGGCGATTGTGCAGCATTTTTATGCAGTTCTGCCCACATTTTCTCAAGTTTATCAACATTTCTTGATTCTGGAAAGTGAATGGACAGTGACCATTGCTTTCTTGAAAGTTCCCTCTGTATCCCTGTTTCCCTTGTGTCCAGTAGAGGGATCTGTTTCCCATCTATGGTGTCGTGGAAACCATGAGTGACTCAATTGCATTGTGCTCTGTGTCTGGATCTAATGGCAAATAAAAGAGTTCTTCAACCAGAATGAAAGACAGTGGTTTGTCTCATGAAAATAATGTACAAAACTATAAACACTGCTGGTGTAGAAAGGCACAAATCACATTTCTAAAGCATTTTCAGTGATTATGATTTCAAAACCAGGAAGAACAGAAAAAAACAAAGTAACAAAGATTTCTGTCTTCCACCTGTTTACAAATCAGTAAACATATTGTCTCAAAAAAATGTGTTATTCATGACCACAGTGAGATCAGTAAACCATTTTAGGCACCAGGCACAGGCCATAAATAAAACTATGACATCATTTCTATTATTTATCTCAACTTATCAAAACAAAGAATTACTCAGAGAATAAACTTGTATCACAGATGTTTTGTTGCCTGGAGAGGTCTTGTGTTCATTCACAGCAAGTTGCTTTCAGCAGTCTTTTTATCATGTGTGTCGCCCCCTACTGTTTGATATATCTATAACATTCCATGATACCACATGCAAATTGGCCTCTCTGTTGTGTTTAAGTCCCCATGAAATCAAAATTGACTATTCATATTTCAAGTCCCTGTGAAAAGTCCAAAAAATCCAAAACCAATTAGTCTGATCTTTCAGAATAAAACATTCATTCTGAAACATATAAACGAAACATTTAAACATTTTTATTTGCTATTCTGGATGTTGTATTTTACTTACAGTGGTTGGTGTGGACATACACAGTATACTAAGAATATAAAGCACATATAGTGGTTATACAGTGTGCTTCTTCAACGTTCAGCACCAGAGCTGTGCATTGTCATGCTCTTTGTGATCCTATAATAAAAGTAGGTCCCACTTTATATTAAGTGGCTTTAAGTACTATGTACTTACGTTGAACAATAAGTACAATGTATTATTGTGTTTCTGTTGTATTGTAAAACACTTTTTCTGCTATTGAGGTGTGATCTGGGTAAGGTTAGGGACAGGTGTGGTGGTATCATCTGGTATGGGTAGGTTTAAGAGTAGGTTAAGGTGTGAGGGGAGGGTCAACTGTGTAATTACAAATGTAATTACATAAAGTAATTATAGCTGTAATTACATGCTGGAATTTTAAAATGTAAGTACAATGTAAAAACATGCATGTACACAATAAGTCCATTGTATCAAATGATTAATTTCAATATAATTACATAGTACTTAAAGCCACTTAATATAAAGTGGGACCCAAAAGTACAATCTTAAAACTAAAACTCTGAGACATTCAACCAAGCTTATTTCAGTTCCAAGCACAAACATTAAAATGAGAAAAGGGTGATGAAAAGTGATAATGAACAGTAATGATTGTGTCCGCATCCTCAGTTTTATTGACAGAACATTAAAAAAATTCAGCATTCAGATTTATATAGCTGTATTTTTTGGAACCAGAACTCTCTTCTTTTTCTCTCTGACTTTGTCATCCATCTGACTTTAGGCCTTGTTTGCCCAGTTTTTTGGGTAGCCACGACGGCAGTGTCTCTTAGTTGTCCTCTTTTGGCGTTTTGGCCACCCAGATTTCTCTCTACAGAGTTCAGCTGAAGAGAGAGAGAGAGAGAGAGAGAGAGAGAGAGAGAGAGAGAGAGAGAGAGAGAGAGAGAGAGAGAGAGAGAGAGAGAGAGAGAGAGAGACTGACTTACTGTAAGATTGTGTTTTTATTTAGGATCAAATAAATCAGCCTTGGTGAGCTTGGTGATGGAAGTCTTCTTTAAAAATCTTTTTTTTTTTTACTGATTCTAAACTTTTGAATGGTAGTGTAAGATAATAAAGTCCCCCGTGTAGTCAATAATTTTATCCCTAAACTCACATTTGATCACCGAAGTGACACATTTAAACATTTTTTTTCCTTGAAAATGTGTCATGCCTTAAAATAGCAATAGTAACTCCATACCCTTTCCTCATTTATTATGTGCAGTTCTATGAATATGAAAATTAGACCCGCCTCCACTCACTCACACCAGCTCAGAGATCCACCCTTGACGATCACATGTTAACGTGATTGGTTACAAGGTGTGATATAAACACAGTGATTTCGTGTTTTTCAGACTGCCTTTGGTTCATTGTAGTTTTAAGGAGAAAATATTCAGGAATGGTGTTGACTCATATGCATTTGCACATGGTTTGTCTCAAAGCATATTAAAAACACCACATAGACATAATATAAACAATATATTAAAAGCTTGATTTTCACCACATGGCGACTTTGAGAATATACAGATCGAGTCTGAGTCAAGACCGAGTCTTTGAGGAAGCAAGACCGAGATTTTGTCCAGACATATCAGTTTTGATATTCATGATTTAATATCACCCCAGTTAATAATCTACAGTTAGGCCTACAGACTAAGCTAGATTGGGAATTGTTTAGAGCAGTCGTGACTCGTTAGTGATGGGGACGAGACCGCATATCCGAGTCGAGACCGAGTCTTTGAAGGAACATGTCCGAGACCAGACTCGAGTATCACTACTATATCTAAACAATATAACAAGATGGTCCATTCAAAAATCACAAGTTCTAATTTAAATTAGTGGGACGTTCTGTAGTTTGCGAGTGTCTCACCCATCAGGATCTCGTCTTGCTGGCACACGGTCCTCACACAGATCTCTTTGTTGATCACATAGACTCTTGGAAGACTGGAGGAAACAGATGTCATTTATTTCATATGCACCATGTCAAACACAAATCTCGTTTTGTATGTTCAACAGAGGAGAATGTCAGCAGGAAGAAAGTTCTGTGTTAGTCACCTGTAGAGACAGAGAGATTGAATACATCTCTTTATCGGCCGATGAACCGAGTACATCCTGGTGCAGGGGTATGTTTCCTCTCTGCAGTCTGTGGGACAGAAGCAAGACTGTTATTGTTTTGACACAAATGGCGCACTTGGATACACTGCATGTACAAACTCACCTGGTGGTGGCAAAAGAGAAACATCAATGTCCTGTGTTTCTGGCAAGAATAAGAAAAACACAGTAAACTAAAAGCGTGTACAGGAGACCAGGGCTAGTTTTCACACTTTTGACTCATATCAGGGTAGGTTTATTTTTGAAAGTCAGTGTGTGTAAAGACACATTAATACTTAAAGTACTTTAGTAGTGAAACACTGAAGAACATTTTTGCATTATGACCAAGAAAAAAGACAGTTCATTTAACAGGCAAATTGGTGAGTCGCCACAACAAGGACTTCTGAGGCTGTATGAGAAGCATGCCTTTTTTTGAAATATGATTTATAATAGAAATAATTAATAAAATACTTTATCTTTAGACAAGAGAGACATTTTCTACAAACAGCAGTTTTCATTCTTTTTTAAATTTACAAGAAAAGAGTGGCATTACAAATTAATTTAATGAAATATTTATAAATATCATAAACAGGCTATATTTATGACATTTAATAAAATATCTAAATAAGCTTCCTGAATGTTCTTTAGGGTTTACACTTTGTATTACCAATGAATTTTAGTTGTTTGTGATTACAAAGTTTAAACTCTTTTTTTATACTTACAAATAGCAATTTCTATCAGATGATTTTTTTATTGATTGATTTTCTTGATTTTTTGTTATTACTTTTTAGACTATTTTTAGAAACAGCAAAAAAAAAAAAAACTAATTATATATATATAGCAATATATATATATATATATATATATTATTTAAATGACAACAGATAAAACATGACCTTGCCCCTAAAATAAATGTAATGAATAGATGTTTGAAACCAATGTACCAAACTACTCCTGAAAAACCACACACACACACACACACACACACACACACACACACACACACACACACACACACACACACACACACACACACACACACACACACACACACACACACACACACACACAATCATTTTAACAAAACAGTGTCATAGTGAATTACCAGCTTGTTGTGCCCGGACAGTAACAAGTACTGTGAGAGAAGAAGAAAAAAAAAAGCAGAAAAGTTTTGTTGGCTGGGCATTCAAAAGGAATCATTCATTCATATTAATTAAATGAATTGGCTTCTGTTTGGTTGTTTTGATGAACTTACCAAAGAGACAACAGCATAGCAGCACAGAGACTGGATAGCTGCCCATCTTTCAGGGTCTTTACGGGGTACGATCAAAGGTCAGGGCCTGGAGAACGAGAGAGCATCAACGGTCATGAGCACGTTTATCATAACAACCTCGAAAGCTTTCAGAGTATTCAAAATTAAAGTGGATGTTATGAAAGACTGTTTCATCTTCAGAGTAAAAATTAAAATAAACAAAGATTATAAGGTTATTGTTAAGATAAAGTAAGAATTAATACATTATCGCCCAAAAGTTAAGGTCAGTAAGATTCTTTTTGAAAGAATTTTCTTATGCTTTCTTATGCTACAATAAAAACAATAATATTGTGAAATAGCATTACATTTTAAAATAAGTGTTTTCTATTTTAATATATTTTAAAATGTAATTCATTTCTGTGACGCAAAGCTGAATTTTCAGCATCATTACTCCAGTCTTCAGTGTCACATGATCCTTTAGAAATCATTCTAATGTGCTGATTTACTGCTCAAAAAACAAAAAAACAAAACATTTCTTTTTATTATCAGTGTTACTTGGACATTTGTGATAATTCTTTCCCCAAGATGTTTTGATGATTAGAAAGTCAAAAGAACAGCACTTATTATTTCTATACTATTTTTTTTTTATTTTGTTTTGAGAAAGGTCAGAACAGATTTTCTCCAAAGTAGGCCCTGTTGTTAACACTTTAAGAGTCACCATGCACTTGCAAAATATAACCATTTATAGGCATCCTCGAAAGACTTGGACAAAATATATAAATTCTAAAAGAATTCTATATAAATTCTAAAAGAATTCTGTATGAGAAGAAGGCAGACCAACCTAGATTTCCATTTGCCTCTGACTCATGCAGATTCTCATTTATTGATGTCACAGAACATAAGTTCTCTGTTCTCAATCGCTCATTAAAGATATCAGTTACAGCTGTTCCATCCGTCCAGCTTTGTCTGTTTCCTTGTCTCTCCCCAAGTCTTTTCTTAAGCCTGTATAAGCCTGTATTTCTTGGTGTCCAAGACATGAGCTCACACTAAAGAATGTGCATTCCCACCCCTCCCTGTGGACTCAACAAAATCACACACACACTCACATAGGCATGCTTACGCATACACACAGACGCATAAAATCATACAAACTCATACATAAACATATATGCACTCCTATGCATTCCCTCAGACCATGGTTTCGCCTGAAGGATCAATTCCATATTCATGAACTGACAACTCAAATGTAGAGTGCATGCATCAACACACAGTTTACACTTACATTCTGCATTATTTTTCATTTTAAGTGTGTATTTCTTATACCGCTGCATGTTTTTTCAAGAGTAACACAGATTTTTACATATTCATCTACTTAAGATTCTTTACCCATTCTGAATGCATATCTTCTGTTTAACTGTGTGCATGTTAAAAGCAAAGACTAGATTATGTGTCATATGATGGTGGTAATGATGTAATATTCTAAAAAGAATTTGTTTTTATAATACTTACAAATTTCCAATCCTCTGTTGCTCCTTGTGTTTTTCAGAATCCTTTGGCTTTTAGTTTCCCCTCCCTTTCTCTTCCCTCGCCTCAACATCCCTCCGCCTGTCTCTCTCTCTTTTTCTCTATTGCTCATTCGCTCTTCCCATTTTAATCCAAATTTTGGAGTTGTAATCCTTAAAGATAATATGGTTTTATAAAAATAGTGTATGGGGGCTTGACCTTATAATTTGATCCTGGGCCCGGTTAGGCAGTCCTGCATGGGTGATTTAGATTTTTGTGTTCTGAACCAGAATATGTATATGTATGCATAAATTATATACTGTGTTTGACCCCCTTCGCCTTCAAAACTGCCTTAATTCAACGTAGCGTTGATTCAACTAGGTGCTGAAAGCATTCTTTAGAAATGTAGGCCCATACTGATAGGATAGCATCTTGCAGTTGATGGAGATTTGTGGGATGCACATCCAGGGTGAACGTGATTTTACCAGGTTCGAGGCAACTTTGTTGATCTCATAACAGCAATCCAATAAGCCAGATTTGAGGGACAAGTTTACAGTTTATGTCAAGTTTAGGTTTACAACCAGGGTTAGGTGCTTCTACATCAGTGTTATTCACCTATAATTTCCTTCTGATTTTAGGGATAATTTATGGGTAGGGGTAAGGTTAGGGTTAGGACTAAATTTTCAACTCAAATGTTGTTCCAGGATCAACTAAATACATTCACCCAGAAACATGTCTTACTTGGCAAACATGTCTTACATGTCCAGTAACATTGTCTTCATCTTTAATTGTTACGCCACTAGGTGACGGCAAAGGACTGTCGAGTGAGTCATTAAACCGTTCATTCAACGAACACCTTCAAAAACACTAAGTGTTTACTCTGTGAATTTGAAAAGTGAAAGTAAATTTTGCTCATTTGGTCCACTTTAAAGTAATTTTCTAATGCACTTTCACTAATGTTAGACAGTGTAGTGTACATTTCATAAGCTTAATCTTCAAGTTTCAGATTTAGCCAGATTGATATGATTAAACCTTATAGACAACATATTAGACCAACATTATGATTTAGGGCTGGCAATGAAAGGAAATGAAAGGAAGTTACCACTGCTGAAGAAAACCCCCTGCAAATACTGACCCTAATCCACAACCTCTATATGAATCAAAATCAGTTTTGAAAGGGGGAGACCCACAGTGCCAATAGGATGGTTGGTTTAGTATTGACCTTTAGCTTAACTGGTGGCTTCTTTAGGCCCAGCCAGACAAATAGCATGCACGATTTTCCAATATCCATACTGTGCTGTCCATCCATACTCTGACTCTGCTGTGTGGAAAGTAGTCTAGGTCGACAAACTGTGCACCAAAGAGCTGATGACATTTTGACAGATGGAGGCATAGCAGACAGGAGAGAGCCAGAGCTGAGCTAGTCCAAATCCGTGTCCTGCGACCTCACAACCTGATTGTGAAATTCATGTGCTTCATCATGCCATGTGAGGTGGGCCGAGGGAGACACGGTGGGTCCTCCTTGAGGAGACAAAAATAAGTTGAGCGTGCCAGATCGTAAACACCATATAATATATCTGTTTATTGGAAGAATGTTTCTTCCCACCCCTCCCAAATGCAATGCAGGGTAACCTCCTCATTATCTGAATAGGGAATGAGACGTTGTGTAGCTTTAAGACGCAGTGGGAACACCCTCTGGGTTTGCCGATTGTCTGAAACCCTTATAGAATCACACCAATTCATTGGTCCTCGACACTCTTATGTCGTAACATTACATAGCTCCTCAGATTTCTCTGGCGAAAAAGAAAATATGTCGGCAGTGCAAGGAGCTTGGCAGCGAATGCAGTCTCGTTCCCTATTCAGAGAACATAGGTTACGCAACTAACCAGAGACGTTCTCTTATATAAGTTCACTCAATGCTGTGTAGCTTTAAGACGCAGTAGGAACGAAATAACAAACTCGCCAAGCTAAAGCACTGCCATAGCTAGTACAAGACCAGAAATTACACGACTGGTTCAAGCAGATAAAACTTGGGAACCTGGAGTCATGTCAAGATCCAAACTATAGAATCTGACAAAAGTGTGCGGAGAGGACCCGCCTGCCGCCAGGCCCGCCACAAAAATATATTCCAAGAGGGCCCCTCTAAAAAGAGCTTGAGAGGAAGCCATAATTCTAGTGGAATGTGCTCTGATGCCAAGAAGTGAAGGCAGGCCACACACCTCATAAGCAAGTGAAATAGCTTCCGTAACCCAGTGGGAAATCCTCTGCTTTTATGCGGCAAGCCCGTGGCGGCCAGCACCAAAATGTACCAAGAGTAGGTTCGATTTCCTCCAACCGCCGGGGCGGTCAACTTAGAACTTCATAGCTCGAACCGGGCAGAGCAAGTTAAGTTTCTTATCCTCCTCAGAGGCAAAAGGAGGAGGATGGAAAGCGCAAAGGTTAATAACTTGATAGAGGAACGTTGTGGACAGAAGCTTGGGTACATACCCTGGTCTCGGCCCTAAGGTAATCTTGACCAGACCAGGAACGAAGTCCAAGCATGACTAGGTTATAGAGAGAGCCTGTAAGTCCCCTATCCGCTTCAACGAAGTTAAACCAAATAAAAAGAGCAACCTTAAGAGACAGAATCCGCTTAGGAGCTGAATAAAGGCCAAAACTAGCCTGGTTTATTCAGGGTAATCTCGTCCGACTCTCTATGAGCGGAAATAGCCGCAACGTATACCGTGAGAGTGGTAGCGGCCGGTCCAGAAGCAAACTTCTCATGCAGAAATTCCAGCACTGAGCCAACTGGGCAGCTAACTGGGTTCATAGCATTTGCTGAGCATCAGTAATACAGCCTCCTCGTAGAAGGGGCTCTTGCACTTGCGATGGTTTCCTGAACATCAGCTGGTAGACCAAAGCTTAAAGCTAGCGGCCTTTGATGGGCCAAACGTACAACTTACAACGCACATGCCTGTCCAGGGTGCGTGGACGTGAACCTGGACCCCCCTAGCGGTTTACATGGGACAAAACCGCCATATTGTCTGTTCTGATAATGACATGGTGTCCTTTGAGAAAAGGGAGAAAGTGATGCAGAGCCAGGAAAACGTCTCTCAGCTTCAAGCTGTTTATGTGCCAAAAGAGGGTCTTGCCAGTTCAGATCCCATATGCTGGTCTGCCTTCGAAAACCACTCCCCAGCCGGTCAGAGAGGCATCCGTTGTAATCATCTGGCGAAGTAATACTGCTCCCATGCTGACCCCTTTCTGAAGGAAAAGGGGGTCCTGCCAAATTGACAGGGCACAGAAGCAACTGCACAACACCCTCAATAGGCGAAGAGCTGGACCCGTGGGTAACATTACATAGCTATGTAGGGAGGGGGGGGGGGGGGCTGTGGCCATGAGGCCCAGAAGTGGGTGAAGTGGGCCAAATGTCACCAGACTGGAAATTCACGCAGGAGCCATACGGGCCTGCATCAGTGATGCACGGGTCAATGTATAAACAACCCACACCCGACCGACGTTTTCAACTAACCCGCCCGCAACTTGGACCGCAGAAAAAAACCCAAAAAACAAAGAAAATATTATTTTGAGTGAACTGGTCGAACCGGACTGAACCGTTTGAAACAGCTTGCGTCTTGCATCAGTGCTTAATCCACAAGTTACTAAAGTTACTCACTTTCAGACATGCCTGACAGTCCCTCCGAATCTAAATAAACCAATATCCTGGAGTATATTTTACTCCAGTAACTCCAACAGTTCACTAAACCGAGACATGTTGGTGCCACTGCTGAGAGAAGTGATGAGCACGAGCGCAGTCGCGTACTACTGAACGCACAAGTACAGCGGTTCTCAGATCACACCAGTACAGAACCGAGACTGAGCTGTAGTGTAGGCCTATGTATTTCATAGAAAATTGTGTCTAGTACTATATACAAAGGTTTAAAGTGTAGGCCTATGTATTTCATAGAAAATTGTGTCTAGTACTATATACAAAGGTTTAATTGGGATCTTTATTTCAAACGACCCTGGTAGGCGCTCCCATTCTTGAAAGAAATACAAGAAAGGAAGAGGGGTGTTGCAGTGCAGAGGACATACCCGAGTCAGGGTGTTGCGCTGATTCCCGTGGGGTTGAGTGGTACAGGGAGGAGAGCACTTGGCGACCTGACACGTGATGGGAGGTACCACTGCCTGAATCAGAGTTCCTGGGTCTCCCTGTTCCCGAGGAAAATGAAATGTGCCTCCGAGGATTCGATTGTCAGGTATAGAATGGGGTAGGCCCCCACCACGGGGGTGAGGGGAGAGAGCAAAATATGTCTCCTTCCTCCCGCGCCGGACAGAGTTAAAGGGTGAAATAGTTAAAGGGTGCAGTTCGAACACGCTGGATGGCGAAGGTGACAGGGTAGGTTAAAGGACAGGGGGATGGAGGCAGGCAGAAACACTTGCGCGGCCTGTCCGGCTGAGCGGCTGGTTTGTTGGGCCACTTCAACTGAAGACGCCTATGAGGTCGCTGGTGGGGAAATGGGTGGCCACGGGCTGCCCAAACCGTGGTTGGTTGGGGATGAGACTTGTCACTCCTCCTACTAGGGAATGAGAGCGGCGCTCTGCTCTATGAGAGGGCCGTTATCTGGGTTGAAGATTTCTTAACTCTCCTAGGCATAAACTGCTTAAATGCAGCCAACTGAGACTTACAGTAGCAGCTCGGAATTTCTCAACCACACTATGAAACGTTGAAGTGGGCATTCCAGGTTTCTCAGGATGCAGAACACATTGTTATGTGTTATCTGGCAACGAATTCATTCAGCTAAAAAGAAGAGGAAGGAGCTCCATGTGACATTCCTTGATTTAGCTAATGCATATGGTTCAGTGCCACATGAGCTTCTTTGGGCAGCATTTGATTTTTCAGAGAATCAATGTCAATAACAAATTTGGTGAAAGCCTATTTTGAAAAAATTGCAATTCAGTTTCTTAACCCCAGAATTCAGCAGTACATGGAAATGTTTAGAGGTTGGAATAATGACAGAATGAACCATTTCTCCACTAGCTTTTACCATGGGAATGGAAATAATCATTAGGGCATCAAGATGGGCAGTTGGAGGAGAGTGCTTGGCTTCTGGGATGCGACTACCACCAATCAGAGCATGCATGGATGACATGACAACCATGACTACAACAGTACCCTGCACTAATCGGTTTTTGGGTAAGTTAATCGATAATATTGAATGGGCCAAAACAGAATTTAAGCCCTCTAAATCAAGGCGCATCTCGAAAGGAAAGGTAGTAGAAAAACATTCTTCATTAATGCTGAGGCAATAACAACAGTTTCTGAGAAGCCAGTAAATAGTATTGGGAGATGGCACGATGGGGATCTAAAGGAGTGGGAGAAGTTTGACGACAAGCAGTGGAAGGGTTGAAGAGCATAAACAGCTGTGCTCTACCTGGCAAACTAAAACTCTGCTCTCAGTTTGATCTACTGTCGAGGTTGCTATGGTCACTGACTGTGCACAGGGTTTCTTTGACAACAGTGGATAAGCTGGAAGCGTTAATAAATTCATACATCAGGAAATGGTTGCGAGGCACGCTGCCTCAGCAGAGTGGGACTTTATAAAGGAATATTGCAGCAGCCAGTCTCTGCTTTAACCAAGGAGTTAGAGTGGAAATGACCTTAGTAGAGTCACGCAACAAAAGTGTAAGGGAGGCAACAAAGGCCCCTAAATATAGAATTATAACTTACTTATAAATGAATTATTTATTAGTATTACTATCTATAAATACATTTATAAAGACTCATTAAGACCTACTGCTTTAACAGTTATAGTTACATTTATATTATTTTTTATAATTAACTAAGTCATGCATTTGCTTTTTCAATGTGCATAATCCATTATTCAATGATTTATAAATTATCAAATATAAAATAGTTCCAGAGACTCTTGTTCGCTGTAGCAATTAGTTATCAATTTTGTCTTTAATGGTTAATTTTTGCAATAGAGGTCATTGATGGTCATTTTGATTTGTTAAAATCCATATGCACGGTATTGCTCATAGCAGTTTAACATCTTTAAAAAAATTGTTGCAGTGTTGCAGTGTTTAGTATGTAACATTAAAAAGATACATTTACCCAACTGTTGTAAATGGAAACGATCAGTTTTCATATGTTGACCTGTATTGATCAAGATTAGCCAGTCTGTACATTGATATGTTTGAGCGATGTAATCATGATCCCTGTGTTCTGCTGAGGTTTGTAGCAGGTTCTGCTGAACACATTGCTGTCCTTGGCTCTGTTCTTGCAGTCCAACTCTTCTCCTGTCATTCTCATGATCAATTGCGTTCTATCTGCGTCTCCCACCACTCATCAGTTGTTGTGTCCTTCCATCCAGCTGTCCCCTGCAGAGTCTATCCCTGTCCACTGGAATTTACTGGCCACCAAATCTCTGTTTATGACATTGTGCCCATTTGTCTTAAGTCTGAGATTCAGTTTTACTAGCTGCAAAATGAATGAGACTATAATAGAAATATGAATGATAATTAATTATGTGTGCACATGCGCCATGCGGATATCAAAGTGAGACCTGTGTTGTTTGGCACAGTTTGTTATGGAGCTCAGGTGCAGGTATATTTAAAAAAAACAACAACAACAACAATATTAACACTCAAAATGGTTGCTGCCAATTAATGCCTTCAAAAAAACAACAACAAAAAAACATAAATTGCATCAATGCTCAAATTTAATTTGCTAAAACATTTTTTCCCACACATAATACCACTATACCCCAAGTCTGTTTTATTGTCTATTTCACCATTGAAACAAATGCAACACTGTTGATGTTATGCATCTCTTATTGGTGTTGCATAATTTCCAGGAAGCTGATGACGAGAAGCGACACTGTTAACATTAGTTTAAGCACCGAACACCAAATGCTTTCAAACTCATTAGGTGCGTTCCATTCGACAGGGTCCCTGCACAAGTGTTCACTGCTCCCTACTCCCTGAACACGGTATATCAGTTGAAGTGGACTTCACTGACTTCCTGTGAAGTGATGTATCGATGTTCCCTTATTCCCTATGCCATTTGCAGTGCCCTTCGAACTGAACATGTTCGTTCCCTTCGAATTGGAATCTCACTTAAGATGGCAAAATACCCTGTGAAGTCCACTTCGCAGTCCACTTACGGTCGAATGGAACGCACCTATTGTCTACCACCTCAAAGCCATCGACTGGGGCAGAAAGAGAGAAGGCAGAGGTGACTTTCATTGGACTGCATTAATGCATCATTGAGACATGAAGTTCAGCCTGTTGGCTTTGGCCTGTTAGTGAAATCAATGGGCTGTACCGAACTAGAGAAGGACAGATCACAATGTTTCGACAGAGAGATGAGGAGGTGGTGTGAGGGAAAGTCAAGATGGCAAAGAACATGAACACGGAGAGAGATACAGGGTGCAAAGAGGGGACGCGGAAAGGTGCTGATGTGTTTGACAGTCTAAATAGATGGACCTGAGGCTATTTATAAAATATGGGTTTGCAGGCCTCATGAAGGCAAAAGCTGATAGAGCAGACCTGTGGGATTCAATGAGGGGGTCAGAGGAAGAACAAATGTATGAATAATCAAAACACTAAATATGTATGAACACAAACACAAAGTATAGTTGATTAAATTCATAGAAATGTTTTATTTAATGTTTAATTCTTATAGATTTTATTTTATTATATATATTTAATTATTAATTAATTATTATCTTTAATGCAGTTCATTGATAGCAAAAAATGGAACACATTATCTTTCTCTTTGTATTTGTACACATCAATTTGGTACAAGATGTCCAAATCAATGTGATACATTAGGACAATAGCTAATTTTAAAACTAGACTGATTACATTGCCTAAAATGTGTATTGTATAGATTAACATTTATAGATTACGTTACTAATTATACATTTTATTTGTATTCAGTAGCGGACTATGATTTGTAGGTAATTTACCCAGCACTGGTTGCAGATAGGACAGTGTGGACAGCTGGAAAGTTAGAGTCGCCCCGCACATATCTGAACTGATCCGCTGTATCCCAGAACAACACTAACCTGACACCCGCTCCATTGTAGGCTACATGTGTTTGTTTAACATTTCACACTGCTCTTGTCCTATTTAGAGTGGAGTGGAGCTGTATATCAAACAGCCTGCTAGTATATCTGCTGTCTTCAGACCATCTGAAGTGTTATAATGCATGAGGTCAGCAGAGTTCATCAACAATGCTGATGTACGCACATGACGATGTCAACTTATAAGGGCAGCTTGAGAAGTGCATATTGTATAACAGACTGAAGAGAGTAAATGAGTCACCAAAACAAACAAGTTTATTCAAACATGTACAAGCAAGTAGCCTATGTACAGTACGGCTATGTACATCAAAACAACTGGTTTGAGCAGCCCATTCTCACTCCCAAGGCGTCACCTGACTGACACCTTGGGAAGCATTTGACCATGCTTCAATATCTGACGCTTTAGGCGCCCTTTAGCGTCAGTTAGATGACGCCCTAGGATCCCCTACCCCCACCCCATACCTAAACCTAACCGCGTCCTCTAACTGACGCTTTCCTTTAGCGTCAGCTAGATGACGCCGTAGGATCGCGTCATGTGAGTGGGCGCCTAAAACGTCAAATATTGAAGCGTGGTCAAAGGTGACGCCTTGGGGTGAGAATGTGTTGGTTTGAGAGAATGTGTTTATGTATTCCACCCACATCTGATGAGCAACTCCTCATCTACAGTACCTATTTACCTCTCTACACGTCAAGAGCTTACTTATACGTTGCACCTGAGAAAAACTCTGTTATAGGCATTGTGGCCAAAGTATTTATAGATTTTGTTGTTGGTAAATCCTGTAGTTATATGTTATGTCAAATAAATGCTGATATTCTATTTAAATTTCTATTACATAAAGAATCACAATGTATCATGGTTTCCACAAAAATAATAAGCAGCACAACTATTGGTACAACATTGGTAATAAGAAACGTTTCTTGAGCAGTAAATCAGTATATTAGAATGATTTCTGAAGGATCATGTGACACTGATGGAGTAATGATGCTGAAAATTCAGCTTTGTCAACCCAGGAAAATATTACATTTTAAAATATATGAAAATAAAAACAGTTATTTTAAATTGTAATAAAATTCCACAATATTAGTGTTCTTGCTATTTTTAATCAAATACATGCAGCCTGGTGAATATGAGAGACTTTACATTACAAAATAAGCCTCAAACCTTTGAATTGTAGAGTGTTTGTGTGTGTATACATTATATTGGCTGGATAATTTGTTCTCTAATGCAATGGCATTAACTCTTTAATAATTCATATTACTAATAATTTAATATTAATAATTAATCCTACTTATTAATGATTAATATATGAAGTGTCCAAGGGCCACTGTATAAATACAAATCTTTAAAAAGTTCATTCATCTCATTGTCTATTTAAAAAAAAACTAATATTCCAATATATAAATATAAAAAAACATACATCTGTTTATAATATTGCAATCGTACATGAACTTTATCTCTCCCTCCTTTCCAATATCTCTTTTCCCCCTTCCACCCCTCCTCTCTCGAGGATCTTCTTGGCCTCCAAGTGCGCCTCCTGCTCTCTCCTCAATTCCTCTTTCTCTGTCTTCAGTAACCAAGGTCCTCCAAGGTAAGACAGGATCTCTTCAGGCCCGGGGCGAAGCCAGGGCAGCGGGTTCAGCAGCTTTCTCAGGAGAATGAGGACGAATGAGCTTAGGGAGTCAAACTGAAGGGCGACTTTTAATTCAGCCTCATTTTCCTCTCTCGCAGTGTTTTGCTTTTCACAATGTTCTCCCTCCTCTCTCTGTTTGGTTCGATTGAACCAGTCTATGTATTTGCAGTAGGAAGGGTCATCAGAAGTGGTCTCCTCCCAGGGGAAGCAGCTTGTCAGCAGGCAGTAAATGAGGATGCCTAAAGACCAAGTATCCAAACTGGGCTCTACTGTCATCCAGGTGTCCTCTGCTTCCTCCTTTGCCTCACTGACTGTCTTAGCGCACTCCATCTCGGGCACACAGAAAGGAGAGTTGTACCACACAGCACGGACCTTGGTCCCCTTTGCCCGCGCCAGGCCAAAGTCGCCCAGTTTGACCCAGCGACAATGCCGGTCACACAAAAAGATGTTCTCTGGCTTAATGTCCCGGTGCACAAAGCCAAGCGAATGCAAGTGAGACACAGCACCACTCAACTGAGACATCACACTCTGAGCGCACTCCTCACTCACCTGCTACAGAAAAAGACAGAAGAATAACAATTAGAAATAACACAATAACAATTAACAATTTCTGGCATTTTTTTCCCTTTTTCATTAATATAGTTTTGTCATAGTATTTATTTATTTCCTTTTCTGGTTCATTATTTTTCTTTCTTTCTTTTATTTATTTATTTATTATAAAATATCTATTACGGACATCTTGTTGTCCTTTTTTGTTTATTATCCAATATTGTTATTTGTATTTGTTCATTCATTCATGTACCTAACTTTTTGTAATTGAAAGTACTTTTCCTAATTTAAAGTACTAATTTAACTTTTCCTAATTAAAGTACCTAATTTTCCTTTTAAAATATTATTATTGATATAACACGTATTTATTTATTCAACCATTAAGGCCACCATCTTGCCCTTTTTCAATAATATTTATTTATTTATTTATTCTCTCATTCAAGCACTGTTTTTATGCATTTGTTGTGTTTATTTATGCTTTGGCAATAATGTTTGTGCAACAGCCCTATTGTTATGAGTTATGAGATGGCAGAAAGTCTATGTTCTAATCTGCCCTTCAGCGGTACAGTAAGTACTCTCATTAAATTGCATTAATGTATCAAGGCTGATGATAGGACCAGTTGTTTTGGCAGGAGAGTGAGAACACGGGAGCATATCAGGGAGGGAACATGTACGTGCCTGGATAATCTAAGACACGTTGTTCCCTGAAGAGACGTCAAAACGAAAAATGCTCTTCTCATTTCGAAAGCCCTATAGATCAGAGGACCATAATCGACGTCCCAGGCCCTTTAATGAGGAGAAGCCACTAAAGTTGTCTAATGGCCATCTAAATCTTGTCTGAACACCTTGAGGTGTGTAAAGGATGACAGAATTTGAAATACTGCTGCATTTACTGACCTCTGACACAATGACATCATACAGGTCTCCATAAAGACCAGCCTCCTGGGCAAAGACATAGTGGGAAGGCGTGGAGTAGAAGATGCCTATAGCCCGCGTCAGAGAAGGGTGTGTGCAATAAGAGACGGACAGGTTGTATTCACGCAGGAAAGCTTGGAGAGTGGTAGAGCAACGGGGGAAGAACTTCAGGGCCATTGGGGTTCCTGGAAGTTCAAAGATTGCTAAAGTGAGAAGTGCTTCGCCTTCACCAAATACATAAAATCTTATAGTTTAGAGCTCGGCCTGAACAAAATAGGTGACCACAAAACAACTGACCTCTCTTCTGATGCACCGCCAGCATCACCTTGCCATACGACCCCTCTCCCAGCTTTTTGATCAGCTTGAAGTGCTCTGATGTCACCAGTGATGTCATGGACTGAGCCGTGAGGTAGCACAGCTCATCCAGCTTTCTTGGTACAGTCTGACAAGAAAACAACAGCAAAACTAACAGTAAAGTTGCTGTGCAATTTATTCATGGAATATTGCAGTGTTTATTATAAATTATTATTATTTTTTTTATCTTTAATAAACTCCCCCTCCCTCTTGCATGCAATGACATCTCTTCGGGACAACATCTCACTCACATGACATCACAGAAATAGTTAACCACAACAATCCAACCATCCAATATATTCCTGATGAACAAAATCAGGTCCCGACCAACATTTTCACTTGAATATAAGTCACAATAGGGAAGAAAAGATCATCGCAACGCAACATCGTCAACTTTAATCATACAATGCTGATTTTCAATCAGTATGCTGTGTGAAGCATCTACTTTTATTTTATGTTGCTTGATCTTTATAATTATTAAAGCTATGAAAAGCATTTGACCAATATTACAATTCTGGTGGATTCCGATAAGCTTTGTTATTGTTGATAACCGATAAATGCCTCTGATAACGTTTTGTCGAAATAATTTCTTAATAAAATTTAAATGAATTTAAACATCACAACTTTATAATATACATTATGAAAATAGCTATTCATTTTAACATTTTCTAAATATTAGGTTTATCAATGTTATTAAATTGTTTGAATTAATTTAATATTTTTATTTATTTTATTTATTTTGTATTTTTATTTTAACCAACAGACTGCCTAAATTGTGATTAATACATTAAAACAATTGTGTTAATGTTTTTTTCTGTATATATTACTAATCTTTTACTTTAAATCAACTTTAAATAAGTGTTAGATGATGACAAAAATAATCTAAATTGAAAAACAGTGTAAATGAACAAGCTCAATTAAATATCCAATATTGATCGATACTCTCCAGATGTATACAGATATAGTCCTGATATATATTTTGTCATTATGATAAGCTGACTATACATCATCCCCCTTATTCTCGACCGCATAGTGGGCATGAAATTAAAGAAAAGAAACTACAATTGCCATTTAGGAAATCAGTTGCTTTAGACGGCATCCAATTACACTTCCAATTGTCTGACTTCAGAATTGCTCAATTGAGATTCATTCAGAGAGCCATATAATAATGATAGTTATATGACAGTTTAACTTCCCATCTGTCAGTTCTTTCACCAGCCTTCACTTTTATGTCAAAGGATGGTCGAACAATACCATAAGCCCATTAACACCTCGGCAGGCCTGAAATAGCTAGGGCGCATGTTACAAATGCATTTTTACATAACACAAAGCAAGCAGATCATATTTACATTACACCCTATATATTTATCAGGGACATTTGCTGATTGTCCTAGAAGTTCCTAGAAGTGTACATCACACCTGTCCTGTGTGCGTCAGTGTTCATTTTTTTGCTTTGTCAGTCTATGCAACCTTTACTAACACCACTCAGCTGCGGAGAAGGACCATGTCATTGTACGGTATTCTGTTACGACTTTATAAGTCTGTGATGTGGTCCTAGTGAAACGATTGTATGAGTGCGTTGCTAGGCATTGAGAACAGAACCACCAGAGCAGCCTTTATCTCACTGATAGACCCCTCTGGCAGTACGGCCTTTGATAAGGTGCCAGGAGTGGACGTGCATATATGCTCTAGGTTGTTTCATTTTCCATGCAACCTTCATGTCTGTAATGTACAATAAGACTAACAATGTTGTTTTTAAAATCAAATTTCAGTAACACTTTAGTTTAGGGTCCAATTCTCACTATTTAATAATTGCTTATATCAGCATGCATATTACCAGGATATTGGGTGTTTATTAGTACCTATAAAGCATATTAATGCTGTCTTAATATTAATGCATATTAAGGCTACTATCTATCTATCTATCTATCTATCTATCTATCTATCTATCTATCTATCTATCTATCTATCTATCTATCTATCTATCTATCTATCTATCTATCTATCTATCCATCCATCCATCCATCCATCCATCCATCCATCCATCCATCCATCCATCCATCCATCCATCCATCCATCCATCCATCCATCCATCTATCTATCTATCTATTTTCACAGAGTGCCACTATTGCAAAATATGTGCAGTATGTGCTGGGGATCATGTCTGGAGTGTTGTACATCACCCACAGGTGTATAGCACAGCTTTAATAGATTTAGCAGGATAAAATCTGAAATATTATTTAGTAATGATTTACTCCTGTAAAGCTGGCATTGATAAAACACTCACTAGCGTTTTATCAATGCCAATACAGTATAAATGTGTGTGTGTGTGTGTGTATGTGTGTGTGTGCTATTGTTATTGTTATTTGGTTAAGTGTTAATTTCTAATACTTGTTAATGTGTATTAATATGAAATGGAACAATTTCCATTAGATCGATAACTCACAGTCATTGTCCAACGCTGCAGTGTCTTTCAGGACGTCTCTCTCACTGTTTCTTTCCCATCTGGACAGGACTGAGCTCTGAGTCAAACTGTCCGTTGCTTGTTATCAGCATACAACTGAGATCGACAAGTAGTTAATCAGATGTTGCGGTGGTGCAAGTCTGAGTGTCAGTTGCTACTGAGTATTTTTATAACTGTGCTCTCTCTCTCTCTCTTGATGAGTCTGCCGACCTCCTACTTACCACCTTCCCCTGCTCTCTCTCCCTTTTCCCTCCAAAATTCCTCTGGTTGTTTCCATCCCAGATAGCCATGTACTACAGCAGTGAGGTATGCTGCCCCTTCCCAGAGTCTCACTCTTTCTCTCGCTCTCTCTCTTTACTGCTACGTCAGTAGTGTCCCAATGTGTTCCACCTGTCAGTCAGTCTGTCTGTAACACTCTATTCAGTTCCTGCTGTTCCCTGAGGTATCATATCTCCCTTCATCCTAGCACGATCAATTAGTAAATTCCTCCAACTGTGCATCTCTAGTCAGCTCTGCTGGATTAAGTAAGATTGAAGAAGATACCATGAGGTTAACAGTTTTGAGATCTAAGAGTAATCCTCAACTAAAAAAATAACGTTCACTCTAAAAAAAAAATATTGTTGGTTTAACTTAAAAAAGTAAGTAACCTGGTTGCCTTAAAATTTTAAGTTGATTGGAAATACTGGAAAAAGTGAGTTAATACAATGAAGGAGATTGATTTAATCATCAGAAACTCAAAATAAGAAGTTATCTGAACTAAATAAATTATTTAAGTTGATTTGACAAAAGAAAATCTGTTGTGATAACAAATCTTGAAAATATTTTTTTACAGTGTGTGAAACTAAATTAGCAATGTGTGATCGATTTACTTGATTTTTGAGAGGATGCAGTGAAATTAGTGCCACACACACACACACTTTTATTAAAAGTATTATTTTTATACGGATAAAACGAAAATGTTCTTTGAAGTAAGAAAAAAAATAGTTCTTTAAGAACTTTTCACTAAAAGGTTCTTTAGAGGAATCAAAAGTGTTTATTCTATGGCATTCTATTGCCCCTTTTTGGAACCTTTATTTTTAAGGGTCTACATGTGTAATAAATAACTAACTGTTGTGAAACATGAAAAACAATTCAGTAACATGAGCGCCATTATATTATTGGCTTACAAGGTGCATGTGGTTTCCACTGACTATGCTTGGTATAGAAGTCGAGGTTGCCATCTCCATTAATAAGAGAATCTTTAATGTTGCTTTATGCAACAGTTCCATAAACAAGCAATTTATGTCATTCTTACGTTTCAGGCAAAAATGCTTTCATATCTCGAACAGCTTTTCTGTAGCACAAGCAGTAGAGTGTTGGCGCTTGAAACGCCAAGGTCATGGGTTTGATTCGCAGGGACAGCTGATAAGAATGTAAATGTGTACCTTGAAGTGCAATGTTAACATAAAACAATTTTCCAAAATACATAAAAATGTAAATGGGCCAGGCAGTTAATGTATTTGTATACACACATTGTTTCAAATAAAGGCAAACTGGACTGTATAAAACCCTAAGATAAGAAAAAGAATGAAAAGAGAACAGTTATGTGCATATAATATATACATTCCATTAAAATTGTCATCTCCTTTTGTTTATTTATTTGTTTTGTTTATTGGCTGACATTCCACATTCTGCCATCTGTTTGAGTGACAAAACTAACAGCTGAAAGCTTGCAGAACTTAATAGAACCATCCTCTCCATGACAAACCTTTGCTTAGTGCAGCCAATTCACATTCTCTCTTTCTGTATCTCATTCTCAGTTTACCCTGAACCTCAACTCTTTCTCTCTCTCTGCACTTCACAATTGACTCTTTAAACATTTAAATTTCAGAAAAAATCCCCTTGATATCTCAAATACAACATGGCTACTGTGTATTACTAAAGCAAACAATCCCTGTTATCACAACAGTGGCCGTTTCTGTTTCTCCAGCTGCCCTCTACATGCATGAAGCTGTTGCTAATACAGTCTGCTGTTGACTTCAAAGAGACTTCATCAATCCCTCTGGACTCCTCTCCATTCATAATCAGCACCACACTTATGTAACTCCCCTGCTGTCATGGTATGTCTGAGACATCATAGAATTAGTTTAACATGTAATTCAATCGCCAAGATACACAAATAGGTAGCAATGAATCATTTGGGTGTCTATTGCAATTACCTGCTGTATAATTTTGAGTAATTTATTTATACAACAAATTCAAATATATTTCATTTGTGTTCTCTATTCAATCTTTGACAAAAGTGTGAAAGTTTTCTTTATCTGTGGTGGCCTTGAGTTATTCTGCATGAGTGTTTGTGGGTGTGTGCATTTGTCTGTGTTTATGTGTTTGTCTTTTCAAGGATATTTAAGACTGTTTGTGTCCTTAGTCCTTAAATGGTTTCTGCAAAATCAGCATGACTTGGTAATAAAAAAAAAACTTCTATCATCAACTAGCCATTTTTATCTTAAAGAAACAGGGCAGCATGTTAAAGTAAATATATTTTGCATGTTACTTTAATGGTGGATACAAATTTTACAAGTGAAAATAAATGCAATTAAAAATGGATATATATATATATATATTTTTATTGGAATCCTGCAGTATGTTATTTTTATGTTCTTATAGACCCCTTTTCAGTTGGTAAACACGGTGACGTTTTTATGTGGGCGGAGCTTAAGTGGAGGGAGAACAATCCCTCTGGCCGCTTCACAAAAGCTAGTTACCAAGTTTTATTAGCTTGTTTCTTTAACAATGACTGGAGAAAATCATATTTTATCTTAATGCGTAAGGTCACTCACTCTCAAGTTAATTTTAACGGACAGAACCAGATTGGCCGACCCGTAGCCTTCACACGCTCACTCAATGCATGGACGATCTGATCTGATTAACGTTACGTTACCTCGGTTGAGTGGCCTGACTTCTACACCTAGCTTATGGAGAAACCGATCGTAAAGAGAAACTGAGGGCATATAAATCTTTAGATGCCTATAACTATGTGCTGAATGGTCATGTACAAGACTTGTGTGTACGATCCGCAGTTCTGCCGAGCCAGGGTAGAGAATACGACAATGTAAACAGTGACATTACGGTACGATTTTAATGATGTGAATATTTTCTAGAAATAAAAATTCCAGTTACAGCATATTCACTTTTCATCGATTCTTGCACCAAACAACACAACAAGATGACATTTAATAATAATAAAAGTAATTTAAGCTCCTTATTATGTAGCCGAATCTGTGCTGGTTTGCATTGGTCGCCTCCAGTTTTCACTTTGTTTTGCCTCCAGCTAGCGCCGTGACGTAACTGTGACGTCGGCGCAAAAAGGGTCTATATTCTGAGTGTTAGAAATCAACCTTAATAAAATACTAAAAAATGTAAATGTTAACTGAGTATATATTTTTGAAATGTTTTATGTACAGTTCATGAAACTTGGCATTACAAAAATAATTGGTTTATGCATTTAAATTCAGCATGAAAAGGAAGTTGTGATAGTCCCCACAACACCCCGTTCTGAGACAGGAAGTTCACAGTTTGCTCGAGAAAGGGGTGATAGAACTGGTTCCCCCGGACGAACGGGAGAGTGGGTTCTACAGACGATATTTTGTAGTGCCAAAAATGGGAGGTGGTTTTCGGTCCGATTCTGGACCTGAGACCCATTGACTGAGCGCTTCACAAGTGCACATTCAGAATGACAACGCTGAAGCAGATCTTGGCACAGGTTTGTCCCGGGGATTGGTTCGCTTCGGTCGATTTAAAGGACGTATCCAGATAGTGATGCGCCACAGGTGCTTTCTGAGATTTGCGTTCGGGCGCACGGCTTATCAGTACTCAGTACTCCCGTTCTGGTTGGCTCTGGCCCCCCCGCACCTTTTCGAAGTGTATAGACGCAGTGCTTTCTCCCCTCAGATCGAGTGGAATGCGCATCCAAAACTTTCTGGACGACTGGCTGATTCTAGCTCACTCGAGAAATGTGCTAATCGGTCATGTGGAAGCGCTGCTTCACCACCTGGATACGTTGGGACTGCGAGTAAACAAGCAGAAAAGTCTGTTCGCTCCGAGTCAGACTGCAACATTTCTGGGTATATGTTTGAACTCAGTGACGATGCGAGCCAATCTCTCCTGGGAACGCATAGACACAATATCATCGTCTCTATGCTGTTTCAAACCGGGCAGATCAGTGTCACTGAACGGTTTCAGAGGCTTCTGGGACTGAGGGCAGCAGCTTCATCATCAGTGTGTCATTGGACAGCTGCAGTTCTGGCTAAAAAACTCGAGTTCCTCCAAAGGTGTGGTCTTCCGGCCACAAGAGCATCACTGTTACTCACAGTTGCGCCCGCACTCTGGTACCGTGGAAAACCCCAGAGTTATTCAGTTCAGGAGTCCCTATGGGTATCGTGGCGCGACACAGGGCAGTCTTGACCAGAGGAAGTGGCATATAAACCGTCTGGAGTTGGCGGTGTCTCTAGCCCTCTAAGCTTTTCAGTCTCGGTTGGAGCCGCAGCATGTACTGATTCGAACAGGTCTGTGGTCTCGTACATAAATCGCCAATGCGGCGTGCACTCCAGAGCCCATTTCGAGCAGACGGCGAGTCTCCTGCTGTGGGCAGATTGGTATTTTCTCTCCATAAGAGCAGCACATATTCCCGGTGTCTTGAACCGTGGGGCGGATATGCCATCAAGGAACGGGATTCCTCAAGGAGAGAGAAGGCTTCACCCTGGCTCGGTTCAAATGATTTGGGATCGATTCAGGAGGGCAGAAGTCGATCTGTTCGCCATGAGCGAGAACACACACTGTCAGTTGTTCTTCTTGCTGTTTTGCTCCCCTCTGGCGAGGGATGCCCAGACTTCACGCTGGCCGAAAACCAGGCTTTACGCCTTCCCTCCAGTGAAGATTCTGTCTGTGGTGTTATGCAAAATCAGGGAGGAGAAGGCATCTGTGATCCTCGTAGCCTCGAACTGGCCGAACCAGACCTGGTTTGCGGACATGAGGGAAATTTTGGTGGGCTCCCCTTGGTAAATTCCCCTCAGGAAAGACCTGCTATCTCAAGTGAACAGCTAGATATGGCACCCAAGCGACGAGTTGTGGAACCTTCATGTGTGGCCCCTGAACGAGAGGGAAGCCCTGCATTCGCGAGTGCTGAGCACTATTCCGGAGGCGTGCGGCATCTTCCAGGCATCTCTACGCTTCGAAATGGGGAGTTTTCTCGAAATGGTGCCAGGATGTCGGTATCGACCCGGATACCTGTTCCGTGTCGGATATTCTGCACTTTCTTCAGCACAGGATGGATAATGGGAGTTTGCCGTCTGCGTTGAAGGTGTATGTGGCCGTTATTGCCGCGTTTCACTCCCTGGCCGATGGACAGTCGATCGGTAAACACCCTCTGATGATCAGTTTTCTCAGGGGAAAAAGGAGATTATGCCCTTCACAGCCACCTTCTGTGCGTCCCGAAGTCCCTCAATACTCCGTTCAGAGCACAGGTTGTTTCCCTGTCCGTCTTATTTGCTGAGCCGTCAGCCTCGTGTGATGCTGACACTCAAAGTGCTGTTTGCCCCGTCAGGGCTTTGCGTAAGTATGTGAATCGCTTGGCCACCTTTCTCAGTTGGACCAACTATTCGTGTGCTTTGGTGGATGTAACAAGGGACGTGGGGTTTTGAAGCAGAGGCAAGCTCACTGGATTGTGGATACTATTACTCTAGCTTATGATTGCCAAGGGAAGAATTGTCCCCTTAGCATCAAAGCTCAGAGCGATCACCTCGTCATGGGCCTGGTCTAGAAGTATTTCTATACAGGTCTTGTGTCTTGCTGCTGGCTGGTCTTCACAGAATACATTCGCCAGGTTTTATAAGATGGATGTACCCTCTGAGGCGTCGCGACACAGAGGGTACATCCTTTTTATAGCTAACTCTGCTATGCTTCTTTGTGAGCCTGTCCTGCTGTGCTTATGGCACTGAATTATGTAGTTATCACCTGTGCTGTTGATACTGTGTTTACATTGCTTGAGTTGTGTTGCCATTAGCATTCAGTGCAGCCTTCCTCTAGATCATTGGTTTGGGATATGCAAATTTTGACAAGGTTTAGACGGTGTGCTGTTAATTGATATTAAAAATATAAGAATTGTCAATTTTGGTGACTTTTATAAAAGGTACTTTTTTTCTGTTATTACAAACGTTTAAAAACAAGCATAGTCGTCATAATTACAGCATATTGTGTTGCATTGGGGGGCATTCAAGTCCAAAAGGTTGAGAACCACAGTGCAAACAGGCTATGTCTAGAGGATATTACTGCAACAACTGCAATACGCTGTAATTTAAGGAGCGCATTTTCATTGGGACACCGCCGTTATGTGGGCACTGCGTGCTATAGCATCACTTTTAAAGTTAGGAAAGAAAATAGCAGAAGGATACTTATCATCTCTTCACAACTCGAGGCTTTTATAGGTTAACACGACACCCGGATGCCACAAATGTCAATAGCACAGCAGCCGTTCCTGTCAAGATTGTAGAAAGAACTCATCAGTGCGCAAACGTCACCAAAACAGGAGAGTTAAGTTTGTTTGCGTACATATAATATTATTTTTCCAGATTATCACATTTCACAGAAGGTATTTAGATTCATACGTTTCACTGCTATTTTAGAAAACCACCTAGAAACCGTTGTTACGGTAATATTTACCACGGCTTATGAATATGCAAACCAGGGAGCGCGCAAGGGGGCGCGGTCCGTCCGGCTGCTGGGAAACGGAAGCGGAAGTGCCGCCATCTCCTCAGACCAGCCGAGCAACAGCAGGGTCAGTGCTGACGGTTTTTGAGAAAGTAACGTTAGCTCTGTTATATCAGTAGAATCGGTTTTGTGACACATTACATATTTAAATGACGAACGCGACTCGAGAGGTGATAGTTGTGAAAGAAAACCCCTGTCGCTTCAATCTGTCACGCACTCACGCGCGTCTCTTTATGAGTTGAGTTAGCATAGCGCAGCGCTCACGCCTCTAAATGAGTGTTTTTAATTCAGCGCCGTGACAGAGACAACAGCGCTTTCCTTTACTCCCGTCTTCTCCGGTAATAACCCGCTTTCTGCTGTTCGGCTGGATGTCTGGTCGTGTTTGAGGGGGGGGGGAACTGAAGCTCAACGGTAAGTAGCCCCAGCTAGCTGATCTCTTGTTGACTTGGGAATGATCTCTTCCTAACAGTTTGTGACACTGTGGACCGCACAATGCTTAAATGGTGTTGAAGTTACTTTCGGAAGGTTGTCTAAAGGCTTGCAATTAAAAGCGTGTTGTTTGTGTGGCTGGGTGGGGATATAGAGAGATTTGATAGCCCCTACTACTGTCATCTGCTCAGACAAAGATAAACTAACGTTACTGGCCACTTTAACAGATATGATACTTCACCAACTGTCAGATTTCACACACACACTTCCAAGCAACAGTTGTCATAGATAAGTTCATTGAATGTTGTTTATCTTCTCACAGCTTGCTTTGAAAAACCACCTGTTGACCCCTGAATTTACTGTTTTGAATGGAGGTTGAAGTCAAGGTCTGTGGTCCAATTGACTACAGTTCATTCAGACCTTGGTACTTTGCTCCTGGCACCCTCAAGGCGGCTGTTATTATCAGGTCAAAGCCTTATGCAACAGTGCTGCATATTAATACATTACACCCTCATGAACTACTACTTATCGCCTGTTCTTTCTGGATTGACCGAGACTTTTTAGAAATATATTTTTTAGTATATTTGCATAAATATTTCACTTTAATAATAATAATAATAATTCTTTAATGAATGTCAATAAGTTTATTAATATAGCTAATCAACTTATGTTAGTAACTCCTTTATATGTTTTGTGCAATTCGTTTAATTTAATATTAGCCCCGTAAAGCCTGACATTAAATAGTCAGAAACCTCAAATTGTTTTTAATGGAACAGTTTTTAATACCTTTTAGGCAAAATATGAAAATTAAAAAGCTCACATTCGAGGAAGTAAAGTAGATTTTATTTAGAGCCCCAAACGTGCTGCAAGTGTTGTTATTTGTATGGTCAAAGAGTAACATGAAATGCTGATTGCTTGTTGTTAATCAATAAGATTTTTCAAACTGTATAGCAGACTATTTGCATAAAATGCTTATAAATATCAGTTCTCAATAGCGCCTAATAAATGCAATGCAAATGCAATACAATGATGCCTGAGAGTTGTACGAATAAAGGCCTGTTTTGTTATATTTGAGACATTTTAACATGAAGCAATTAATATTCTAAAAATTGATGTAGGAATAATCACGTAAACCTAAGTTGCTTCAATCCAGTAAATGTTCGTCTTGAAATATTTTAACAATATAAGTCATTCTTAGATTACTCCAGTAAAACATTTCACACAAAAAAGACGTACAATGACCTAAAGTAGACTTTTAACAATTGTACTAAGCCTTTTACTTGTTAAAGTATTAACTATCAGTCAGGTAGTCCATGTAAATATGGTTTAGTAGAGTAGAATATTGTCTTTGAACTTCAGTTTGCTCTTTATATTTCTGTGGCATCGCCGTCATAGAGTAATTAGCCGGTGAAGTGGATTTACTTATTGGAGAGTTAAAGTTTTCATGAGCATTGTAATGTTTGAAGAGGATCTCATAAATGTCAGTAGACCAGGAAGATTTTAAAACAAGCGGTTCATTCATAAATCCGTAAGATCTTACCTTCATGCTGTGGAAATACAAACCATTGTGTAGTAAAATGTGTCTGTGAATCATGATGTTGATTAAAGTGATTCATTGAATGTTTTGTACGTCACAGCAGGTGTGATGCTTCAGCTTTGTTGTAGTTTCTGTTGACCTACACCTAGCTGATATTACAGATGAGTAATGTGTATTGCCTTTAGGCACTGTCCGCTATTAATGCACTTTATCTATTGTGAGAGAATGGAATTGAATGTCTGTTGTGTTTTCAAGCCTTCACAGTGCTGCATCAGCTTTCATCCCTGTATGTTGTACATTCGGTCTAAATCTCTGTTCTTCTTGTAGTTGTTTCACCCCACATCTGTGGTTCCGGGCCCTCATGTGGCCGCCGTGCGGAGGTTTGGAACAGTGGACAGGTTAAACACTGAGAGACCCCGACCTGAGCACGCACATAGAGAAAGACCGAGAGGGGGGGAGAGAGACTGACACTCCCAGGTATAGTACACTTCACAGACACTTCCTGGAGCCAGAGTCTCACGTCATCAGATGCATCAGATGTTTACATAGCTTTTTAGTTTGGGGAATTCCACAGGCTGGGCTCTCATGGTTACAGTGGGTGTACGGTACTGGTAATGCTCTGTTATATTTGATCTAATGTTTTTTTTAATTGACAGGGAGATGGATTGAGTCTGAAAAGCTGCCAAAGCATTTCTTTTGTGTTGTCTAAAAAAACATCTCACTGGTGGTGACTCTGTGTCATTCTTAGATATTAAAGTTTTGTTTGGATCTCAGAGTCGATACAGTCTCATTTGAAAAATGTGTAGCCTTTGTTTGCTTTTGTACCTGTCCGTATTAGTGTTTTATTGACATTGTTTTACAATGTCCCAGATTTTGCAGAACCTGATAGCCAGCCTGTTGCCATGTCGACATCATCGCTGCGGCGACAAGTGAAGAACATTGTTCACAATTACTCAGAGGCGGAGATAAAGGTTAGACTTCTACCTTTATAACCTTTTCTTTCTTCTTCTTGGCCTTGAAACAATCTTATTCATCAATAGTCTTTAAGTTCTTGATAAATGTTTTGCACTTGCCCTTCATTTTTTAGATTGAATTAAATCTAATACAACATGAGCGAGAGTAATTACTGACAGAAATTTTATTTTTGGGTGAACTAACCCTTTAACTTTGATCCTGCACAAAACATTATATAACACTTAATTTCAGCATTTACTCTCCCTTTAGAGTGTTTTGGCAAAGCATGCTGGGAAATAGAAATCCCAGCTCAGTTTCAGTTAAATTTATGTTTGTCTAAATTAAAAGAAACAAGTTCATACAATTTAAAACAACGAAACCATTCAGATTACTTACAATGTGTCAGTTTTGTTAACTCAAGAGAAAAGTTTATTTTATGAATTAACTAATTTGTTTAATTTAGGTTTACCCTACTCAAACCAATTAATTATTTTGAGCATTAGGGTGTACAATGTAAATGTAAGCTGCTCGTTTTGGTTTCAATGCTACTCTTTTGACAATGGACCTTTTTTTTTGCTTGAAATTTTGGAAACACTTTATTTTGATGGTCCCTTTTGAACATTCTGTTGACTATAAGTAACTTTGCAACTACATGATTAGAGTATTAGTAGACTGTCTGCTTAATATTATCTGCCAACTCTTTATTATGATGCTCCTCCAACAGGCATTACTGACTATAAGTAACTTTACTACAACTTTACTACCCCAACCCTACCAGTCAACTAATACTCTAGTGAGAGTTAGTAGAGATGTATGTGCAACGTTACTTATAGTCAAATGAATGTGTTAAAGGGACCATCCAAATAAAGTGAAACCAATTTTTTTATGGAAAAGTTAATGTTACCGAAAAAGCATTAACTGCAATCTTTCTTGTAGAGCTATGACGGTATATACGGTGTAATGCCGATTAATAATGTGTTGAGCACTCGGATGTGTTGTTATTTGGATTGTATTTCATTAAAAAAAGTAAAAATCAAACATTAATACATGTAAAAAAATGTATAGCCTAGCCTACTTTTTAACTTGACAACACTAGCTGAACAAAAATGCACGTAATTGAGGACATGTGACAACAATGTGGCATACTACTGTTTGAAATGTTATAGTTGCATATAGTATACTGTTTCACATTCTTTCAAAAAAAGTAGGCAGCATACAGTGTGCATTGCACTGTATTCAGAAGCAGAGCAAAGTTCATTGAACTTTATTTGTACTTTCTCCAGGTGAGGGAAGCAACCTCTAATGACCCATGGGGTCCCTCTAGCTCTCTGATGTCAGAGATTGCTGATCTGACATACAATGTAGTGGCCTTCTCAGAGATTATGAGCATGGTCTGGAAGAGACTCAACGACCATGGGAAGAATTGGAGACATGTATATAAAGTAAGATTGATGGTTTTACTCTTGCCAGTGGCAGATTTAGATTATATGGGGTTATAAACAACATAATCTGATTGTGTTTTTTACATTTGCTCTTTCTAAGGCTATGACTCTGATGGAGTATCTGATCAAGACAGGATCAGAGCGAGTGGCACAGCAATGCAGGGAAAACATCTACGCTGTTCAGACACTCAAAGACTTTCAGTACATTGACAGAGATGGCAAGGACCAGGTACACAGAAACTGAAAGTTATATATTTATAAAACACATGCAAATGAGACATGTTTTCTCTTTCAATAAGGAAATAAAAGAAGAGCTCTTAGTGTTCGTTTTGAAGTGTCCTTCAACATGTTAGTGGCTCTCAAATATGATTTAAACACCATAACAATCTCTTGTTCAAGGTCTCCATGTGCAGTCAACTCAAACACCATGACTTTCAAACAAGGTCTTTCTCCCATTCTTAAAGGGACACTATACAGTTGTTTAGTTATTGAAATGGTTATATGACTTCTTTCGGCTTGAATGGTGGCCGTCTCAGGCGTAGGCGTAACTTGCGGGTGTGATATGTCCCCATTGAAACATCTCACGGCACGGATGTGCCAATACAAACAAATAAAACATCTCCAGTTAACTCTAGTAGAGCATTCCTTTAGTTCATTTGTTAAATAAGAGGCGATCTGAAATGTGCTGATTTTGAAATCAATTGACCAAAGTGCTTGTTGCCGCTGCGATCAGTGGCGCGGATACAGTGTTCTGTTGTGATGCGCACAGTCTTCACACGGACGCGTGCTTCAGTCCGTTGCGGACTGTATATATTTGTTACGATGAAATCACAAAACCTAATGCACAAAACAACTTGTCCCTGCTTGATATACAACCACTTATAAACAATCGGTTTTGATGAGCAAAAAAAAACTATACTACTTAGTGCAGATTAGCGAGAACCCAGGACATGCTTGGCAAACGTTTTTCCACTGGACCATGGGAATAATAGTCGGATCTATGTATTTAAAGTCGGCGTGAAACGGAAGTTGAGATTGTAATTTTTTCCTTGTCGTGACGTATATCCGAGTGAAACTGAAAATTATTAAAAAAAATTATAAAAAAATGTAGGGCAGGGTTTGATTTCATCCTTGGGGAATTGATTGGATCGTTGGAGGTTGGGCGTTGCATACAAAATGGAGGCAGATTTTGAATGAGCTTCTCTGAGAGGCGGTTCACCGATAGCCGCACCCTCATCGGATCTGGCCGCACACTTTCGCCATTCCACGTGACCGAAATAGAAGAGAGGTCGTTTTGATGGGGGAGGGAAAGGTAATGTCTTTGATTAAAGATTATAAGGGTGCATGAATTTTTTAAAAAATATTGAAGTGCACAGATAAATCATTTATAATAAAAACTAATCACAGGAAAATTCTCAAAACTAACAACATATATTAGATTTCATTAAATACATTGTGTATACTATGTAACGCGTCACGCTCTGCGTGAGTGGTATTTACGACAGTAACGTTAAATAATACATAATAATACAATAAAGTACACCATAGCGACTCTAGGGATCGCTGTTTGACAAAAAAAAAAAAACGGAATTCATGCATAGTGTCCCTTTAGTTTAAACCATAAAAACATCAGCCCAGTCTTCAGCTCACTAGGTTTTATTTTAGTCCCCCTGGTAAATTCCTAACATGTTTGTCACGAGCATTACCTCAAAGTCAACAACTTCCAGTTCAGGTTGTTAAATTATTCATTCAGGTGCTGAACAAAAGAGCCATTAAACCTGTTACAATTGCACACATGCATTGCAGAAAACAAAACATTTCTGAATGTCGCATGTTGCGTGTGTTTATCAGGGTGTGAATGTACGGGAAAAGGCCAAGCAGCTGGTGACTCTGCTAAAAGATGAGGAGAGGTTAAGAGAGGAGAGAATCCATGCACTCAAGACCAAAGAGAAGATGGCACAGACCAGCAGTGGTAAGAACTAGAAGTGCTTTTCAGTAGGAGGGGCTCATGAAGGGGTCAGAGCGGACACTCAAAGATGTCTGTCAGCCCCCTTGTAAAAGCACTCTGCACTTCACAGCGTTGGCCAAGTGTGGAGGTTGGCAAGCATTTTGTTCTGGAAGCACTTTTAGGGACCGATACTCCACCATCTATTGATGCATCATAATGGCTGTCATTTGACTCCTCCCTTAGCATCTTCGGCCCCTTCTGCTCCTGCTTTAGGGGGAGGAGTGCACTCAGGAGCAGACGCTGAGCAGGCGTGGCCCCAGAGCTCCGGAGAGGAGGACCTGCAGCTCCAGCTGGCACTGGCCATGAGCAAGGAGGAGGCAGAGCAGGTAAAGTCTCTCGGCCAATCAGCGACAGGTTTTCAGGCTGCAGGTAAAATGCACTATTGAAATGGTTCAGGGACTGAGGAAGATGAATAGTTGTTCTACTTGACACAGAAAGAGCTTTGTATGCATACTTAATGGGAAATTGGATTTCAGCTGGAAAACATGTAAGGGGTAATATACAGTCAGCTAATCATTAATGCAGAAGAAACCCTGGCATGGTGATTAAGGCCCTAATGCAAAGCAAAAGGATGTATCGTCCTGAAGGGGTTCTTTTTGCAATAATGATCGGCTTGCTGTGCATTATCCTGCTTTTTACACGGCTTGAGCTTTTGTACGTAAGGAAAGTAGAGACCATGCCGTAAAGTTGCACAGGTAATTATTTGTCTAAGACAGTGGTCAATAAAGTTTTACAGTCATTATACAAATGTATTTGAAAGCAAAATGCCAAGATTGAACAATTAAAATGAAGTATTTCAGAGTCGTGTAATTGCTTTAATGGGCTTAAAAAACATATCAAAGAGTTGTTCTTGCATATAATAATTTGTACGGTCTCAATTAATGTGTTAATGCATGAAATACTTTTGTTTCAGATTAACATGTTAAAATATTTAACACAGTTAACGTAGCATCTGTTTTTTCCATCATTCTTTAGCTAGCGCTACATTATATGATCATGCTTTTATTCATTCAAGTGCTTTGAAAACCACAAGAAATCTCCTGTCTGTGTGACACGCACATGACTCACGCAAACTGAAAGCTGCTTTAGACGTCGCGCAGGCCGCATTCGTGCTTGAACAGACAAAAACACACAAAATTATCCTCGTAAGCACAGTCTTAAATGAGTTAAATAAAGATCTTAAATGACTATAGAGTTGTGAGGACATGTTGTGTCAGATGTGTGTCAGGAATTAAAGTGACAGCAGCCAAATAAACCTAAATGAACAAATGTTAACAAAAGACAGAGAAAATCACTCACTGCTCTAGACTAAATAACATTTATAGCTTTAATAAATATTGTATTATATTTTATACAGTGTTTAATATTATATTATATATTCATACTGTGAACTGAAGACAGTGTTTGATAACTTAATTTCAGTATATTTCCCACCTGTTAGATTAAATATTTTAAAGAATGAATTCGTTTTAATCTATTGACAGCACTAATAATAATATAATAACTGTGGCTTCCCAATCAGCGCTCAACAGTTAGTATTTTTTTTTTGGACTGGTTGTTCAGATACATACTGTTAGCAAACATCCCAATGCTGTACATGCTGCTGGTAGTGGCGTTTAGATGAATATGCATATATGCGCTGCATGCTTTTCTATCAATAACATAATGAACACGCAACAAAAATGACTGTGGTGAGAAAACAACATAAAGAAAGCATATGATCATAGCGATGTTGATATGTTTGCACCAGCTCTGCAATTGTTCACTTCAGATTTCACGAAAGCAGCTTTATAGTATTAAACATGAAAAGCAGTGTCCGTGTCTTTAAAATTACAACTTCAGTTTCTACTATAAAGCAGCACTCTAGTGTGTTCATGTGTTTACATGTGTCTGACCTTGACGGACTGAACAAAAGAAATGAACTGGAACAATTTTTTTGAGCCACAGAGCACACCCAATTATCATGTAATCACCATGAACCAATGAACAATGGTAGATCAAAAGTGTTTACTAGCTGTAGAAAAGAAACAAACTTCGTTTTGGCATGATTTTGTTCTACATTACGTCACACTAGTTTGTAGCCTATTGGAAACTGGAACCCAACAAAAAAAGAATCATAGATTTTTATTAAAATATATATTTGTACATTTATAATTTATCTGATTTTGTATTTTTTAATATTTACATTCATACTTTTATATGTATTATGTATATGTATAATTATATATTTAAATGACAATATTATCTATGGCTATAATTTTTATTTTTTAATGATATTTATTATAATTGTATAATCATACAGTAAGTATTTTAAAAAATGTTTGATAAAATGTCTTTTAAAAGTTGTCTGAGTATAAAAAGTATGTAAAAACAAAAAAAAAAGTAAGATGGGGCAAGTGAATGCCATTCTGTCATCTGGCTCAACACTCTCACACTGGCCCCAAGCCATCCTCTCTGTTGAGTCCTTCTAATAATAACCATGTTTAAAGCTCCCTAAATCTACATTCTTTCCTAACTGCCATCTTAAAATAGAAAAACGGGTTGTTTCTCTAAAAAAGTACAATAACACGCATTCAACATTAGGGGCCCGTCCTCTGCACAGTTTTTAAACATTTCCCCTCTCACGCCTTCACTCACACCTGTCCTCACCCTGCCCCCCTCCTTCAGACTAGCAAAGACCCTCTGGAAGATGCAGAGATCCGCTACGCACTCACAGTCAGCCAGGAGACTCACCAAAAGGTCAGGGAGCAAAAATTCACAGTGGATGAACCTTTCCTTTGCTATCTTCTTCCCTCTCAAATCAAAGATCAGCCTAAAATCATATATACATCCGTATGATCAAATCGAAATATCTAAGAAATACCCAATAAGTGCTTTTACAAGGTTAGTAATGTCTGCTTTTTTGTTGAACTTACCTCTTGTTAGTCATTGCTGTTGTTTGACATCTTCTGAAATCTTCACTTTTGCATGATGAAATCAACAAGTCATTTCAGAAGTACCTATAATTGTCAGTAATTGTTCTTTCTTTGCAATTCCACTAGAGCTTATCAATACAATATCAGAGTAGATAAACTGCCCACTCCTTCCAAATGCTGTTCATTTGTGCCTAACTCAAGCCTTTTAAACACACCTCTGGAGCTGGTGAGACGTGGGAGTCAGGTTGCCACAGTTCACTAGACTCCATTTCCCATCAGCCCACAGAACTTGGTTCACTATGATGATGTGACGGTGGTGTGTGATTGGCAGGAGGAGCGTCTGCGCAGGGGAGACGACCTGAGGCTGCAGATGGCCATCGAGGAGAGTAAGAGGGAGAAAGCCAAGCCCGAGGAGGTGTGTGATTGTGTATGATTGTGTCAGAAAGAGTTCATGCTTGATGAGCTGTCCCTCTAGGGCGAGAGCGTGAGGTGTACACATGGTAGTGTGTTGTGTTACCGAGGGTTGTGTGTTTGTGTACCTGCCTCTCACTCTCCAAGAGTTACCTGCTCTGTCTGTGTCTCTCACCCTGCGTACGCTCTTTAGCGCAACAGTGTGTGTGAGCCCGTTTCACTTCCTCTAGAGTTTCCTTCTCCTTACCATTTTGCCACACTAGCTATTATTAAACTACTTGGAAGTGTAAGTGTATGTCCTCTCTCAAACAAGCTTCACGCTTTTGCTGTGTCGCATACTACTTTTGATGAGGACATCTTACTGACCTGTCTCTCTCTCAGTCGTCTCTGATGGAGTTGAGTGTCGTAGATCCTTGGGGGGCCCCTGCATCGGGCTCCGCGGGACCCTCTCCTCCACCCACTTTGGCTCCTGCTGCATCCACCGCTGGGCCTTGGGGCCAGGCCGACCCGTGGGGGGCCGCCTCCCCCGCCTCTCCCCCGAGTGCCGATCCCTGGGGAAGAGCACCAGCGACAGTAGTCCCAGACCCATGGGGTGACTCGTCCTCTAGAGTGAACTCTGACCCCTGGGCATCCACAGGTGAGAGTGTGGAGGATGTGTCCTCCTAGTGTCCTCTCTGTCTTTTCCCTGGCTTTTCCTCTATATTTGTGGTGTCCATTGATCCTTGAACTCTCCTTGCATCCCCTCCAGCTGTGACCCCTCCAAGTGCCGACCCTTGGGCTCACTCGGTGGCTCCGGCTCCTACTCCGCTCTCAGGGTCAACCGATCCCTGGGCAGCGGAAGGAGCCGCCCCTGCCACTGACGGTCTGACCTCTGACCCCTGGAGTGGCTCGGTTAAACAAACTAATGGCACAGGTATACTTGTACATGTAAATGCATAGATGCTTATTATCACAGGGATGTCAAATTCTGGTCCTGGATGGCCAGCATCTTGCAGAGTTTAACTCCAACTTGTACCAGCACACTTACCTGAAAGTTTCTAATAATCCTAAAGACTTTCATTACATCATTGTCAGTTGTGTTTATTTGGGGTTGGAGCTAAACTCTGCAGAACAGTGGACTTCTAGGAGCAGGTTTGGGCACCCCTGATTTGTCCGAAGACTGGCCAAAGAAAAGTTGCATTAGACACCCCAACAGTGTGTTTGTTGGTAATACACACACAACACTTTCATTAGACGCCACCAGTTCTGAAGATGAAAAGGTATTTTACTCAGTACTGGTTAATTGGCCCTTTGTTAAGCTTTATAGAAAATTTCTTAAGATGAACTGGAGATTTATGGAAATAGAGTGGATAATATTCTTATGTGGGCTGGAATTATTTGTGATGTTTAAGTTATGAAGTAAGACATAACTGCGAAGACTGAACCAGAATCGGAGAGCAAACACGACGACAGCTGATAACGTTAGTTTAAAGTTGCCTTTTCCAAAGGAGAGTAGTATAGACCTTATGTAGCCCCGCCCCTTTTAAGTGTTGCGCTTGTTGTCTTTTGACTTCCGGTCTGTATTTTCACAGCGACCTTACATAGGTAAGAATAAATTGCTCGTAAAAAAAATTCCCGGTCTCGATTTGTTAAGATATCTGCTTTACAATGCTCATGATAAAACTCTACAATAAGTAAATCCACTTCACCAGCTAATTACTCCTCGACAGCGATGCCATAGAAATATACAGAGCGACCGCAAAAACGGGAGTTCAAAGACAATATTCTAAATATGACGGCGCCCACGTTTCTCTGGTGCAAAAGGTCTATAGGAGCTGTGTGGAATTTAGTTCATATGCCTAATTTTCAGATCTGATATGAGCTTTGTCTGCGTTAAAATATTTGAACTTTTGCGGCTAGAATGTATCCTGATTTTAATTATTTGCATTAATTAGCTTGGCACTCGTTTGTTTTGTGTGGATATTCATGTTGGAGATACTGGAAAGGCAGGTTAAGTGAACATAACTGATAGGCTACTAACATTTACTGTGAACTGTTTTAACTACTGTCGTCACTACAGTGACTTACTGCACATTTCAAAGTCACATTTAATAATGTTGACTGTACTGTTTAATTAATTTTTAACTTGAGAGCGTACACAGCAGGGCAACTTACATTGATGGCAACTTACAACTTACATACGCTCTTAAAGGGAAACTGACATTCAAGAGATGGTGCTCTTAAAGTGTTAATTCTTTGGCAATATTTATTGCTAAACAAATATTTGTCTAATAATATGGTGGATGGCAGCATTTGCTTCGGTTGATTTTGGTCAGTAACATTTTTAAGGTGGGGCTTAGCAAACCCCTGCAGGTTGCACTGCAAACCTGTTTTTTTTTTTTTTTTGTTAGTCTGCTACAAGATCATATTGTTTAAGCATTTACCTGTTTTTAAGCAGTTTTTTGTCAAATTCTTTTCCACACACAGCAGATCTAGAGAGAAGAGGATCCTCGTTGACAGGAGGTGATGTGGGAGGTGGAGGCAGCACAGGCTCTCCGGTGCCCTTTGACCTTTCATCGCTCGGTTCCTCCTTGCCTGTTCGAAAAACGCCAGAGTCATTCTTGGGCCCCAATGCAGCGCTCGTGGATTTAGACTCACTTGTATCATCAAAACCCAAACCTAAACAACCTCCACCGCCAAGCATCTCCTCAACATCTCACAACCCCTTTCTACAGACACAGGGTGTGTATTTAAAATTGGCCACATTTAGACAGAAATTGTGTTTGTTTATCCCTCAAACTTTCTTTTTCTCCATTTCCTTAAGGTCCCTCCTCAACAGGTATGGGAGTTACCCCGGGCAGTACCATTTCCAGTAGAGGGGTGTCTCCGACCCCATCTTCCACTTCTAATCCCTTTGGCGTGACCCCGATGGCATCCATCTCTCCTCAACCTTCTTCACTTGGTTTGAGCCAGCTCCGTACAAGCCCTGTTCCCCCAAACCCTATGCTGGGTCACATGGCTCCACCAACAGTGGGAATGGTTCAGCCAGGGATGACCATGCCAGTAATGGGGGTCCCTATGGCGGCCCCTGGTATGGGCATGGGAATAGTACAGTCCAGCTCAATGGGCATGCCTTTTGGTGGAATATCCCCCATGGGTCCTGCAGGAAACCCCTTGCTGATGGGCTCAGGAGGCCCTGCGCAGCCTTCACTGATTTTGGGTGGGCCGTCTGGGGTGGGCGGAGTAATGGGAACAGGAGGTTCCATGGGAGGTGGAACCACAGGCACAAGCACCAATCCTTTCCTCCTTTGAGAGATTTCACCAATCCCACGTTACCCTATCCACTCAACAACCAATCCAAACCTGCCCTACCAACACAAACAGTTTGTGTTTGACAAAAAAGAAATGTGTGTACATCTCTATATTTAATGAAAAAGTAAAAACAAAAATTTGTTATTTTCTTTCACAAAACAGCATTTCAATTATTATTATATATATATTTTTTTTCATTTTATTTTACACCGTATTTGGAGTATTTATTTCCCCTTTCGTTCAATTTTTTTTTTCTTTGACAGACATGGATGATTGGCAGGTTCATTCAATGAATGCAGGTTGTTAATATTGTTATATTATTAGGATGATTGTTATTGCTCAGTAACAGGAAGATGAAGATACGGGAGGAGGAAAACAAGCCACTAATGAACTCAATCATACACCCCTTTCTCCCTCTTTCATTGAGGCGAACCTCTGATGAAAGAGTAACATGAAGGATGACTGACGGGCTTGAGAAGTATTCAGCTGTTGGTTTTATTCACAACTCTACTAAAAATCATCAATAGATGTATTACTTTTAATTTAATTTAATGTGTAATCTTGTGTAATTTATTTTAATCGAATGTGTTTGACTCCTGGGAACGATTAAACCGAGGAAAATCGCACTGGATATTGCCATTGAAACAGATGCCTGCTTGGTTTCCTTTGACCTGCGAAATTTCAGTGCACGTCATGTGGTTCTTATACAGAGGAGCAGGGGCTGTATGGGTGCTTGTGTGTGAGTATGAGAGCATGTATGATGTGTCCAGTGTTTTCACTTGGCCCACGGCTGTGCTTCTGATGGGGTTTTATCAGCATAGTCACACTTTCAGCATAATGGTTATTTTCAGCCATTTATTTTTACAGTCGTAAGAATCAAAGCATTCAACACCTGTTCACGTGAGAAACAGCACCTGTGTCTTTGCATTTCACCTCAGCACCTTTTTACTTTGACATTTACACAGAGAATGGGAATTGTTCACGATTATGAAAATGGAAAAGAGTTATCTGAATGATTTATGTGAAATCATAATGTAAAATTGGGGAATGAATGACATGATTCATGCTGTTATTCTTTATTTACTTTCAATGAATTATTTTATATATATGAAAATTTTAGAGATGTTTCTCTAATATTGGCTATGGTCAAAAATTGTGCGGTGTTGACTGTAAACATTCACATTGAAAAATAAAATGGAGAAAAAAAAATCTAAGAAATTTAAGAAATAAAAAAAAAATCCACATAAAATTGTCCAAGCTTTTTTTTGTTGCATGGATTTGATTTTAAATGGGAATTAAAATGAGAGCGAGTTAAAATATTTCCTTTTATTTGTTTTTTTTATCCATATCAAGCAATAAATGTTGATCAATTTCAGTCAATATACACATGTATAGTCATAAAATACCTCAGTGTACTGTTAAACTGTGTTTATTCCCCCACAAATTGTTAGTGTACATGCAATTTGTTGGAAAAGTGCAATTTAAAATCTTTGGTCAAAAGATTTTTCAATAGCTACTTGACTGACTGTAGACTAGATCAACATTCAGCAAAAACTGAGCCATTGTCAATAGGCCAATGCTTTGGAAGTGCTAACGTCATTTACATTGTAATACACTGACGTAAACTTAAAAGGCAGTCGGGCGTGTGTAGCGTGGGCTAAGAGAAAAGGTATGTTCCATTAATGAAAACATCGTCAGGATCCACCCTAACCTTCAAGGTCTGGGTCAGTTCAGGAACAAACATGAATATATTGCATTGTACGTTTTGGTTAAGCTCACATCAACATGCAGCTGACTATAGCAGCACCATTGTGCCATATAAACTGTAAGGTAGAACTGAAACTGAAAGGAAACAAACAACTGAATGACGGTTATCGTTAAGATGGTGCTGCTTTTGTTCCATATATACATGAAACCATATTCATGATATTTTTTCTTTTACTTTGTATTTATGTGTGTATATCTGCCAAAAGAATTATGCAATCAATGAATCCCAATCGAAATCATCCAGGATTTCTTCACTGTTGCTATGAAGATTCTTCAAGGGCGGATGACCTTTTGGGGTCAGTGGTTGAGTTTGAAGTGCTGCATAAAGACAGAATAACATCATATTTGGATGCCTGAGCAAACATAGCAACACTAATTTGAATTTCCTCTCTGAATGACTAAGGACACTTAAAAGGGATAGTTCACCCAAAAATTGTCATTATTTACTCACCCTTATGTCCTTCCACAACTATAGAAGTTTCTTTATTCTGCAGAACGCAACAGAATAAACTTTGAAAATGCCCGTTTGTTGTCCATTCAATGAAAGTCAACAGGGTCCAAAACAACATTTGGACCTCACTGACTTATTGTGTGGACAAAAACAGTTTAAACATTCTTCATAATATGTTATGTTCCACAAAAGAAAGAGGTTTGGAATCCCCCAAAATCCTACATGAGGGGAGAACTATCCCTTTCAGTTTAGATGCACGTGTCCTGCAAGGATTTAAGGGATCTCTCAACGTACCATTAGGAGTCGGAGGTTGGCTCATGGTGGGCTGCAGACCTGGCGGTCTTTGTGGTGTCTGGTTGTGGGTGTGAGGGGTCAGGGTTCTCCTGGGATTTTGGAGAGGAGGTTCACCAGTGCCATGTGGGAGCTGGGGGTATATGAGTGGAGATGGTTGAGTTAAACTAGCCAAGGTGGGAGAGTTAGTGGGTGGAATATTGAGAGGAGGTGGGGCCATTTGTGCAAAAGGGGAGGAGCCACCAGAAGACGAGCCAATGAGACCCTTCTGAGTGAAGAACCGGTTGAGTGAATCACAGAGCGAGGTGAAGAGAGCTGAATCCAATGCCCAGTCACAGAGCTCGGCCTGACGCATGCTCTCTACCAGGTCTGAATGAAAACAACACAGAGACACCTAATAAATCTCCCTTACACTGATGTACAGCAGTTTTGAAGCATTGTCCATTATTTTAAAAATCATTGTAAAGAGAGAAAGTTTAGCCAAAGAAATACATCACTTTGTTAGCTGTCTTTAGTGTAGATATTTTTTCCAAGGGGAAGTTTGATTGTTTATTTCTACTTTCAATAATGAGAAACTTGTAACTTGCAACAGTTTTAAAAGAGTTTCCCAACACTGTGGAAAATAGTGATTCTGGATAAACAAATTCCAACTGTAAATCCAGAGCAGAAAATGAAAGCATCTTGTGCATCATATATCTCACTGTAGTCTATAGTTGAGTACTGACCAGGGTGACAGGTGAGGTCAATGTTAGCCCAGTCCAGACTATTAGCAATTCTGAAACTCTCTCTCAAAGAGTCAGCGTTACTGAACCAGTCTGGAGGAACAACTAAAAGAGAGAGAGGATCAGTCATCAGGACACTCATATCCCATCAACATGTCACTACTGAGCAGTTATACTCACCATTACTGTGTAGCAGCTTGTCAGGCTCAGTGTTGGAGTTGGGATGAATGTTAGCATTCTGGTTCGGATTTATGTTTGGGATAAAACTAGAGTTAGTATTGGGTGTATTTGGGTTGAAGTTGCCGTTGGTATTGAGGTTTGGATTGAAGGTAGATGTTGGGTTGGTATACTGGTTAATATTGAGGTTTGGGCAGGGATAGGGGGAGAAAGGAGGCAGGGTTGGGGTGTGGAGTGGTGTACTGTCATGGGTTAATCCAAGTAAATTGGGAACTTCAGCTTTGGGAGAGAAGGAGCGAGAGAGATTAAGCACACCTTATCTTAAAACGTATTGAAAGTAAATAATAAGCTATAGGAAAAGAGAGGCATAATTGATTTACTTACATTGTGAGGTGACTCTGTCTCTCACGGAGCGACAGAGGGACTGAAAGGAATTGTACAGATCCGGTAGGTTCAAATCAGCAAAGGAGAATCGGAGAGGGGGATCGGCATGAGGGTTTGAAGGAAGAGATGTAGGTATGGGGGCACTTGCACGTTGCTGTGGTAACGATGACTGCAGAGATAAATTTGAGAGTGATTTGGATAAACAATGTCATATACCATTTAAAGGAATATTTCAGCCAAAAACGATTTTTTTTCCCATGAAGCTCAAAAGGATAATTTTTTAAAGATCTTAAAAGTATCTTAAGTTCCAACAAGGACAAAAAAAGCACCAGATTACTTTTCCAAGTAACTAGTACATATTACTTTTAAATTTACAGATAGATTACTTTTTCAAATAGCTAATGCAGGTTACTTTGTTTTCCCATTTATTATTGACACCTCTCCTGTCCCCTTGTCGAGAGAAATCGCGAGTAAGTGCAGTGGCGTTGTGAGTGCTGAATCAAAATGGTGGTTATTGTAGTTGTAGGCTAAATGTGAGCATGCGATTACTCATCTCTCTTACACATTTCAAAATAGTGAAATGCAAACTCAGAATATTAAGCAAACCTGCAATAATTAAATGTTAAAGTACACAAATATACTTTATGTATTTAATCCTTTATTAAGCAATGTCTTTGGTTCTGACCTTCTATGATTCAATTGAACCATATAAATAAGGAAAAATGACTAAAGATAAACATCACATTTATGTTTCACATTTAAAAAAATAGCTGAAGAGTGTTCATTTGCATTTCCTTCAGCTTGAGGGCTTTACATTTGCCAAAAATATGACATATCACATTTAGTTTTGTTTGTTTTGTAATTAAAACATGCAAGCAAGCCCAGCCCAGATGAGAATGCAAAAGTAACAGTTACTTTCCATAAAAAGTAACTAATTAATGCAATTAATTTGTTTTTTTTTAGTAACGCAATACTGTAATGCATTACTTTAAAAAGTAGCTTTTCCCAACATATGAGATGTGTAAGAACCAATGACACTATTAATGGCATCAATGCACCATTTCTGTAGTTCATACGACATAAGTTGGCTATCTAGTTTGTAAAAGAGTTTGTTATGGATCTTTTTGAGAATGATTCTATGTTTAACCTTTAAACGTTTTCTGACCTTTTAATGTTTAATCGAAAGGTTAGAAGAACTCTATCTTTCATTGAAAGTGACAGATTTCACTCTGAAGACCATTATTCTCTTAACATTTAGTCAACTTAAACCCACCCCTCCACAATCAACTACAAATTCACATTCATTTTTGAATGCAAAGCCCAAATTTCAAAACCCCAAAAGTCCCCACCCTACACTTAGTCTTTTTCACTAATTTGTTAAACTGAGATGTACAAAACTATTGCTACTTCAATTTCATCTCCACTTTAAGCTATCTATAATATAATAATATAATATAATATAATATAATATATAGCACAAGTCATATGGTCTACTTTTATGATGCTGTTAGTCCTTGCTGAAGCTTGGTAGCCAGTGTCTTTGTAATAATAGCTTATGCAAGTATTTTCAAAATATCTCCTTTGTGTTCCATGAAAAAAATATATAATTTAGGTTTTGAATGACATGAGGATGAGAAAATATTCTGAACTATACTTTTAAGGTGATGCATGCACCCAAATTCTTTATAAATTAAAGTGAATATGAAGCCTACCAGTCACTAAAGTGAAAGTGATTATGAAGTACTCCAGCAGTCATTAGCTCTATTTTGTTTACTTTACACTCTCATTTCCTCTTTCTTAGACCTTAAGCTCTGTTCAACGAGGAGCTTCCTTAATAACCCTTAATAGAAATAGAAAAGCAGAAGAAATAACTTTGAACCTTGCAAGGAGGTGGGGGGAACATGATTTTGGTGTCTGGCTGAAGTGGGAGGGGCTCCGGTTGATTGACAGGCACTTGGACCTCTGAGGACGGAGCCTGAAACATGGATGTATATGAGTGAAATACTTATCTCACAAATGTGACAAGATCACTTCATGTGATGTACTCTTACCTCCTCCTCTTTAGGATAAGGACGTTTGACTCCTCTGGGTTGAGTCGAGTCAGGTGGTACATCCATCGTCCAGTATGACCCCTAAAACAGGTGATTATTTAAACTTTAGTATTAGTATTTGAGAGTCCTAAAATTGTTTTAAAAAGTCATTAGCATCGCAATAACCTCAGATATTAATGAACAAAATAATAAAATATTTGACTACATCACCTTCCCAGGGTCGCTCTGTGGTCGAGGGATTTTCCGGAAACATTTGTTGAGAGACAAATTGTGCCGAATTGAGTTCTAGGAGAAGAAAACAGATATATGTCTACATGTAACTGTATTTTACATACAGCTGAACAAAATGCAGACTTGGTGTGCATAATAGACTATTATCAGTGTTTAAATGAGTAATTTACTAAAGTCTGTTTTTAAACAGATCATTCCTCAGATAATCAGCACCCTTTTCCAGTAAAGAGCATCATATTTAATTTAGCTTTACTTCTTGTAAAGAAATTGCAACACCTTTCCTTCATGACTTCATGTCACTACACACCTACATGGGAACTGTCATTTCCCAATTCCCATTGACAGAAAATCTGTGATGAATCATATAGCCTACACGATTTATGTACGCGCAATAATGAAATCTGTCTGTTTGACACCTCAGTAAAAAGCAGAAGTTGTATTTTAACAGTAGGATATGATGCAAAGCCAGAGCTCCCTGGACAATTCAAGTCTAGTCTATCAAAAGAGAAATTAAGCACTGGACAGAAGAAACCCAATGTTTACAAACACAAACTGGTTAAGTAATGCTGATGACATGACTTTCTCCATGGACTCAGTAAGATGATCCATTCAGGGCTCTGAATCTAAACATCTATCAAAGTCAATGGTCCTTCCAGACTGTTATAAAAAAAAGGTTTTATTGATATATTGAATTATTTTTATATGTTTAGTTGTCATGTTAATCTTAGTTTATTATTTAGTAATTTTGTGCTTTTGTCATTTTATCATTATTATTATTCATATTGCTATTTAGGTTTCATTTTATATGATTTATATGATATCATTTTAATTCATAAATCCAGTTAATAATTTCTGTTTATTGCTAAGGCAACATTTCTAATTTTCATTTAGTTTTTTTTTCTTCCAAATAATATTTATATTCTATTCTATTTCAGCTTTTTTTTTTAACAAACCTGCTTCATAATCAAGTTTACAAAGAACTTATATTAGTTAACGAGAAGATGAGATATAAGAGTGATATCAATTTAACGGAAAATGTTTTAGCGTAACCATCAAGTGTAAAAATAACACATTTTTCTGACAACTTCAAATAATCATTATTTTAAAAGTTAACAAATATTTTTATGGTAAAAAGTTTTTTTCCACCACATATATAAATTACTAATTCAAAAATATTATGTTGTTTTTTTAGGTGTCCCACCACATGACAGTTTACAACCTAAACTAACCATAGCCTTGTCAAATTTACAGCTCAAAAGTTCAAATTATCAGATTGTTTTTTTATTTCTAAGAAATAATAATAAAATGTTATGCCAAAATATTTAACACTTTTTTCTTTTCAGAGTTTCAATCTTTCAAATGAGGCTTTTTTTCAGTCTTCATATCAGTACAATTGAATCACCCTGCCAAGTTTATCTTCATGCCACTGACCCTAAAAATTAAAAAAGAATTGCTTTTAGCTATGTTCATATTTCTCAAGTTTCTTTCCAGACTTGTTTATCAAATCAATAATGGTGTAAAGCCAAGTCCCAGCTGGAGCACAACTGCATACATAACTAGTCTCATTGCGATATTTAGCACAAGGAAGTGGTCATGTAGTGGACTTTACCTTCCATCCTCTTCCTGCTTTGCTGTAATAAGGAAATGTATTACTGATCCATGTGTAAATGTCATTTAAACTCAGCTTCATTTCAGGAGTGGAACTTATTGCCATGGCTATCAGAGTGGCGTAGCTGTGGGGGGGCTTCACTTTGGAATTAGATCCGGGGGAGAGTGTAGGTATGGGAGGGATGTCCTTCTCTCTTCCTCGTTCTTTTTTCCGTTCCACTCTTTCTTTCCCTGATCGCAAGGTGCTGATTCCCAGCTGAGGAAGCCAGTCAATGCTAGTTAAACTTGAGTCCAGTTCAGAAGCCATGCTTAAGGGATTGTCTGAGAAAACAAAACATTATGTAATACTGTGCGTTATCTCATGCATTCCAGCTAAGCTGTGTAACCAAGTCAATCATATGCAGTTGTAAGGCAATGTGATTTAAAAGCATGCTGTAATCTAAATCTCATTAAAAAATTCATAAGTATATGGCTTGAAAAACAGATACTTATATCATTAGTTACTGCACACTTGATTGATCAAAGGAAATGTTAGATAGACTTATTATACAGATCTGTTTATTTGGAATAGCATTCTAAGAGAAATGTTTGTATACGTATAGCAGTTGAGTGAAGACATACCTCAATCCTGTCAAAAGGCCACCGACTTCACCCTGTAAATTTTTAATGCCGTCATCTGTTGCACAGAGGCAGATGAAGGATCTCAACATACATTTATTTGTCCTTCTACTCTCTTCTATGTTTATCGCGGCATTCATTAGCTGCCTGAAGCGTCTGAGTTAACACGTTTTGTTTGAAATTTGAGTTTGGGAGAAGAAAAAAAAACTGTCGGAAAAAGTTCTTCCCTTTCTTTCTCTTTCCCCTCCCTTTCTGCTTGTGTTTAACGTCACACACTCCACCCTCCATTTTGCCATTTGAGAACTCAGTGTTTCTCCTCCTCTTTTTAGTTCTCTCCTCCTCCTTTCATGGCAGCACAGTTTACTGGTGAGTAAGTTCCTGTTTCACCGCTGAAATAAGAGAGGGGTAGAGCTTCTGGCGGGAACCCACTGTAATAATTTCCATTGAGATTTTCTTGGTCCTATGACATATTAACACCATTTGCATAATCAAGAGGTGTACACACAATACTTTATTCTTATTTTATAGTAATGCATGTACAGAATATAATCATTTGGCAAAATTTTACAATAAGGTTTTATACATGTATGGCACTTTTCATGCATTAAAATGAACCTAGACCAGTCAATGCAGTAACACTTTATAATAATAAGGTTCCATTTGCTAGGGAACATGAACTAACAATGAAAAATACTTATTTATTAATCTTAGTTAATGTTAATATTAAAATGTACTAACTGATCAAAAGTTATTTTTGTTCACATCATTAAATGGACTTGAGCTAACATGAACTAACAATGAACAGTTGTATTTTTATTAACTAATGATGCAGTGAGATCTTACTGTAAATGTTAACATAAGTGCTGGAAAAATGCTCATTTTTAGCTAATTATACCAAATGCATTAACTAATTTTAACATGCAGAACCTTATTTAAGTGTTGACATAAACTCTTACTTTTCTTCTGGTATATATATTTTTTTAATTTTACGTGTTTCTATGAAAGTAGATATTATTTGAATATGAAATTGCTCAAAGATCACATGAGTCCAACAGGTTTAGAGAGCAGCTGTGTTGATTTTATTTTATAATTTATGTAATTATGTATGCAGGGTGTGGTGTGCGACTGGCCCTATAGAGAGCTGAAGAAGGACAGCAGGCCTGTATCAGGGGAGGGGTGAGCCAAGAGCTTCTGGATCTGTGTGTGGAAAATGAAGGAGGACAGGTCAGAACATGAACGCAAACCTAATAACCACAAATCCCATGAACCTCAGCGCCACCTCATCATGCTGTCATTAAGACAAACAAACCTAAAATTAGCAGGGATGACTTTTTTGTTGCAGTATTCTTACTAGGACTAGATGTTAGAATCCCTTGATATTCAGCAAGCGCTGATGTTTGAGATGTCCTCTTAGGTGGGGTTGAATTGGGGGATGACTGCCTCCACACACATCACACACACACACCATAAGTTGTAAACCACAGCCTCATTGGTTGTTTCGCCCTTTTATCACAATACACCCTCACCCAAGGCTGGCCCACCACAGGCTGATCAGAAATGGGTTTGTTTCGCACCGGAGGCTCCATTAGGTCACTTTGCAGCCCTTACAGTCCCCTTCCGCTTCAGCCACTGCCAGTGACTGCTTCTTTTGGCAGCAGTTGCAAGATCTTTGATGGTCTTCTGCTGAGCCTGTCCTCCGACCATTTTCAAGGTCTAAGAAAACCACATGCAAGTCTTTCTTTTTCTTCTTGGCCATTTTTACCTAGTGCCAGATGACATTTGCGTGTGCCAAGCATCCTGAGAAACCACTTATCCCTGCCTTCTGCACTGAAGTGTTAAAGGAATACTCCAACAAAAAATGAAAATTCTGTCATCATTTACTCACTCTCAAGTTGTCTGCAAACCTGTATGAATTTCTTTCTTCTCCTGAACACAAAGGAAGACATTTTGGAGAATATCGGTAACCAGACAGTTGATGAACTCCATTGACTTCAATAGTAGAAAAAAAAAAACTATTTGTATACCGTAGGGATGCGCGGTATACCGGTATTGCAAAAATACCGGTATATAATAAATTTCAAACGGTACAATATCATCCTTTTGTTAAATTCGGTATTTGATGAGCTGCTGTTCCGAAGTTCTCCACTAGGCGGCAGTGCACTACCGAAACTGACGCGAGTCACGCGAAACCGGCAAATGAAGGAACACGGTGGAAATGAAGCTCATTCGGATTTCTACACGCCCGAAATGAATGAATAGAGAGAGCAGTATGAGTGAAATAAGGCATTACTTTGCCAACTAAATTAATGAGAATAGTGTAGAAACAGACCTCAATGCACCACTCTGCAAACTTTGCTTTCAATAATGTGTTGCCATGGAATGCAACACATCAAATCTGCCAAAGCGCTCGTCAGTTGCTCATCCTGATTTGTTCAAGAGATCAACTGGTGAGTTCATCATTCAAATGATTTAATTTAGACTTTTATTGAACACTGAACAGCGCACATAAATAAGAGCTTATCAATTAAATATGATACGGTAAACACGAAAGCTCAAAACTTCTTGCATGACACGCTAGAACCAATTCAGTTACCGTCTCATGATCTCATCATTTTTGCAGTTTCAAACAAATATATTCATTTAATTTGAATTAATAAAGCATAAAAGTGATAGTAAAATGAATGGCATTACTGCCGCTGTGGCGACCCATAGAGAGAGAGAGAGATGGTAGTAATATAAATATTAATAATATTAGCCTACAATTAAGCTACATTTGTAAACATTCACTAAGGAACCTGGCCTAACAATATAGCATTGATTAATCTAGATCAATCAGTAATAAAATGACCTAAAAATGTAATATCCTAATAAATGTTTAGCATCATAACATTACTTTTTGCAATGCATTATATGCATAATATGAACCCAAACACAAACAGTAACCAAACCAAGATGAATAAATGTAATAAATGTTGATAATTCTCTGTTGATGCATGACAGCTAATGGTTTATGTCATTTCATTATTCTATTATGTTAATCTATTATTATTATAGATATTAACCTATATTAATTGTATAATATCTTTTTTTTCCCCCAAATCAAAATTTTACCTACACATAATTTGTTTATTTTTTAAATTTTGATATGTTTATTTTTTGGGATACTTTTCTTTGCATATAGGGTAGTTGAGAGTTTCAAGCAGTGTTTAATAAAATTGTTTCAATTCACTTAAATTTAGACTTTTTTTTTTCCGACTGTGGTATCGATTTAGTATCGATACCGAGGTATTAGGTTCTGGTATCGTATCGAAACCAAAATTGTGGTATCGAGCCATCCCTAGTATACCGTTTCGGCCCCAAAGTGTGCAAAGAAAATATCCCCATACCATTACAGCACCAGCTTGAACCTTTGATACAAGGCAGTATAGATCCAGATCACAATCTTCTATTGTCCAATTTTGGTATGGCTTTGTGAATTGTAGCCTCATTTTCCTGTTCTTAGCTGACAGTAGTGTCACTGGTGTGTCTTCTGCTGCTGTAGTCCATCTGATTCAAGGTTTGACGTGTGAGTTCAAGGTTTGACAAGAGATGCTCTTCAGCAGATGCCGGTTGTAACTGGTGGTTATTTAAGTTCCACTGACCTCTGGGCAAATTTCTCAGGAGGTCTCCCATCCAGATACTAACCAGGGTCAGCCCTGCTTAGCTTCAGTGTGCAACCAGTCTTGGGCTACAGGGTGATATGGCTGCTGTCCTGATTTGGTGATATGGCTACTTAAATTACCTTTCTTACCAATTCTAATGCTCAGTTTGAACTTCAGCCGAAACACCGCTTCAAACACAGCTTTTTTTCCGACCAAAGCTGTGTTTGAAATCACCCACTATACCCTACACTCTTCCCTACATGACTCCTCTCTCTCTCTCTCTCTATATATATATATATTAAATTATCTGTTTAAGAGTATAGGGGACCTAAATTTCCTAAAAATGCATTGAGTTGCTGCTATGTGATTGACTGATTAGATACAGTATATCCTTTAACTAGCAGTTATCAGGTGAACCTAATAAAGTGGGTAACCTAACTGCTGTGAGAGTGTATATTTATACACACACAAACATTTTAAATTTCTTGAATTATAAATGAGAATATATGAAGAGTTCAGATGCAAAAGCCTCTAAATGCCATTTGAAATTTTCTTCTAAAATGACCATTTTTATAAAGCTTGTATTTTTAAGTTCAGTAATTTCACTTAAATGACAATTAATAGGTAATCTTCATTGCCATTTAAGTGAAATTACTGAACTTAAATATACAAGCTTGATAAAAATGATCATTTTAGAAGAAAATTTCAAATGGCACTTAGAGGCTTTTGCATCTGAACTCTTCATATATATATACGTGTATATATATATATATATATATATATATATATATGATAATATGCACAAGAAAAAATTCAGATGGATTTAGATGCTGCCAGACAGGTCGGCAGTTACCTCTTTAAAGTTAGGGTGTTTGGCATCCTGCACTAGTTGTAATAAAACTCCCTCAGTAGTGGTGAGAAACGCCCCACTCTGCTTCAGTCGTGACAGTGCAAAAAGACGATCCGTATGACTGAAATACAAAAGGCAGATATGTTTTCAAAACCCTGACAATCACTTAAAGAATTGACTTATAGGACACATCAGATTTTACACAACCACCTCATCTTTAAGCAAACACAGTGAAATTCCTCCAGTTTAGACCTTTAGAAAAAAAGCTTATGGATGTCATACATCATTTGACTTGAGTTTGTGTCTGAAAAGTTGTGGGTGAGTAAAGATAAGGTATGTAGGTGTCTCATGTTTGCATTGATTTAAAACACAGTTTTTCATGTTTTATCACAGAACGCTTTCCATAAGATACATAAATATAGAATATCACAACAGTTTTCAATTTAGTATATTTTAAACAAAAAAATTATTCTTATACCTCCGAGAGGAGACGGCATCTGCCACAATATGGACCTCCATGCCTCGCTCCAGAAGATCATAGGTTGTACACTACAGTAAAACAACAACCTTAAAGATCATGATCAGGAGACATTAAATTTGTCAGTGAAAGTAAAAGTGCCATGCACCAGTTTAAAAATCCGTTCAACCTTACCGCAATGCACGCTTGAGCCTCGATGCCACATAGTATAACTTGCTGAGGGTCTCCCAAGCTCTTGAGTGAGCTTTCGACACTGTCCGTCAGCATGGAGAAACTGGTCTTTGTATGAGGCTTCAGGCCCTCGGCCCCCAGCTCAGGAACAGTAGGGCCCAGACCTTTAGGGTACTGCTCGGTTAAAATCTGAGGGATGTGCAAGATTCGGCATGCCTGGAAGAGAAACAAAATTTCTATATATAAATTAATGACTTTTATTATTCATTATATATTTAGACATTAGATATTATCAAACACTGCTTCATTATGGCTGATTTGTAGATTGTACCCAAACATTGAAGGTGCTGATTGTACCTGTAGCAATCTTGCTGCATTGCTCACAATGTTTGTGAACTGGAAAATATTGGGTCTGAACTTCTCCTGAATGTCACACAGCAGCAGCACTGAGCCTTTGGTAGACAGCCTGCCAATTCTTGCCACTGAGGAGATAATCAGGTAATTATGTCACATAATGTCTCACATACTGTGAGTCTGTGTGCAAATTATTTCAATTTAGTCATAATAGCATAACCTTAATTAAAACACTAAATTGTTAAAAAAAAATAAAGATGCACCAAATAAACTTTAATGAAAATAAAAAACCAGCATGTCTAAAACGATGTTGTGAGCCACTTATATTGTAATAAAAGTGAAAGTACGAAGAGCTCCTAATGTACTGAATGTAAATAACTCTTTGAATTCTTCTCATACATGATTAACACACAGATTTCAACCACAACTGCGTTGATAGAGTTCAATGTCATTCACTAGGAGTACTTACTGTTTGTGGTGTATTATGAGGGAGTCTCAGACCACAAAGATCAAGATCAGAGGTCACCGTTACCTGTGTGTTATATAAATGTCCACTGCTCGTATTGGTCAAACTGTCGTTGAAACTCTGGTGAAGTTTATATGGTAATGACTAAGCCGAGTAGTGCAACACTAACATATTCATAAATGACAGCAACGCACAAAATTCTATTCAGATACAGCACAAAGGTATATCCTGTTATTTACGTATGCCCTTAAAAAAATATATTTCCCTGATTATTATTACAATAATGCAACACAATTACCCCACTCGCTGTAACACAAACCTCCAGATAACAGGGCAGTATATCGCTCGTGATTTTGGACCAGTCTTTCAAATGAACGATTCAGAAGCAACTCTTCAAAGAGTGATGATTGCAAGAGCCAATAGATTTCGAGTAAGGGCTGTAAGTGATAATTTGGTTGGTTGGATATACTCCACGAAACCGCCCCCTTCACTGAAAGAATCTATTTTGTGTTTTGAGACTCGAGTCGGAGCTATGAGTCTGAGCAGCACTGAACGAGTCATTCAACTGAATGAATGAATAATGCATCGGATAAGCTCTATAACCCCGACACACAAAAATACCATTTGGCGTAACGGTGTGTAACCATAGACTGTAAAAAAGTGTGTAAAAGGAAAGGAGCACTGAATTTGAAAGAAACAATGTAATGAATAGATTCAAAAGACTCGAGTCAGTGAGATGAATCAAAATCCCAACCACTGTTCAGTGTTCACTGTCATCCAGATCCATTAGAGGGCGTTGTAAGATTCAAAGCAATTCAGTGTAGTTTTTTCTTTCTTTTTTTGTATTATACATATTCATTTACATGTAATGATTTAAAATGTATGCAATACTAAAAATCAGCAACAGTAATAGACACTCGTTATAATATATATATTTAATGACTCGATATGTAAAATTGACCCGGAAGTGTTTGGGAGTGGCTACTGACCTTAGTGGGCGCACTCTAACGGCCTTGGCGTTCCAAAGATTTTGTGGAAAATATACGGTCTATTTAACGTATCTCGATGTTTTTGGGGAATACATGAGCTCTTCTACGAGCAAAGCCCTCATTTATTCCAGCACATTATCTGGTGCATGTGTGTGTTTACTCTAGGTCTCTTTGAAAGCACGTTTTCCTCATGCAAGTCTTTGTATGTTCTGAGCGATTCTGCAAGACTCCAGCTCGACTCCTGCTGCTGTTATTAAACAAACTCCGCTTTGCTTTCCCAGGGTCGCATTTTTCCCTTACACAAACTGTAGTTTCTTAACGTTTTACGCTTGGTTTGAGTTATATTTTTTTTATTTGCGAGATATTCGCAGCCACCGAATTGCTAGCTGCAAGCTAGCACGCTTCACCCTCAGTCGGCGTCTTGGAGCTGCTGGAAAATGTCAGATTTTGACGAGTTTGAGAGACAGCTAACCGAAAATAAGCAAGGTGAGAAATATATGTATAATTGTGATAAAAGTGACGGATTGGCTAATTGGTTACAGTTGATGTGGTAGTGGTCATTCATTGGACCGGTTTCCCTGGATGTTCCTGCAGCCTGAAGGGTGCTCTGCATCATATTGCACAGAAGGAAACTCGACAAATGTAGTACTGTTCTGTCGTATGTGTGTCATAAACATAATTTGTAGAGGATGTGTGTTTGGTGCATGGTTTCACAGAGATATTGAGATTTATGTTGATGCCTCCTGGTTAGTGCTGATCAGTGTTAAAACCTCACCAGGGCTTAGGTAAAGAATGTGATAAGTAAAATGGCATCCATGACTTACTTTATATTTAGTTAAAGGCATAGTTCACCCAAAAATTAGAATTCATAATTTTTCATCAATATATTCTTTTATGTTCCACAGAAGAAAGTCATACAGGTTTAGAATAACATGAGGGTGAGTAAACAATACAGATTTTAAAATTTTTGGTGAACTGTCCCTTTAAGAATTGAAATATCGCAGTGATCATTTTAAATAATTAAAACCTTTCCCACACATAAACAACATGCTATTTCAAAAATATATGCTCTCATAAATGTACAAAATATAATTTTCAGCCACCAAATATTACTTAAATTCAATATCCAGTGCTTAGATGAGCATCAGCTAGCAGATATCAGTTTGAATAAACATTGTTGAATTGATGAAAATACAAGTTTTATTCATGTTTTGTACATTGCTGTGCAACTTAAATGTGCAGCGGACCGAGACAAGGAGAACAAGCACCACCGGCGCAGTGGCTCCAGAAGTCGTAGCAGAGACCAGGATAGGAAGAGAAGGAGCCGGGACCGGGACAGAGAAAGGAGAGGCAGCCGAGAACGTCATGGAGATAGCAAGGACCGCAGACACAGACGCAGGTACGTTGGGGAAACATTTTAATTCAAGCCTGTACATTTAAATACATTATAAATAGCATTCACATAGCATCATTGTTGGTTTCGCTTTCTCCCTGTGCAGTCGCTCCCCACACCGTGAGAAGAAAAAGATTAAAGTGAAAAAATATTGGGATGTTCCTCCTCCTGGATTTGAACACATCACACCCATGCAGTACAAAGCCATGCAGGGTAAGAGTCTGTTTTTCATTCTTTCCTTCTCTAGCCCTGTTTACTCCTGCTGCGATTCATCTTAATGCATTTATTCTGGTTGTGCTCCCTTAAAATTGTCTGATTGAACAATATGTAATTAAAGCTTATAACTCTACAGTTCACAAGTTTGGGATCAGTATGATTTAAAAAATTTTTTAGAATGTTACAAAGCATATTCAAATAAATGCTGTTCTTTTGAACTCTCTATTCATCAAAGATCATGAATAAAAAAATCAGTTTCCACAAAAATATTAAGCAGCACAACTGTTTATAATTGTCAATAATAATAATAAAAAATGTTTTTTGAGCACCAAACCAGCATATTGCAATAATTTCTCAAGAAGCAGGCATCACTGATGACTGGAGTAATTCAGCTTTTCCATCACAGGAATACATGTCTAACATACTTGTAAACCTTGTTCTTTGACTTCAGCTGCTGGTCAGATCCCGGCCACTGCTCTGCTGCCCACAATGACCCCTGAGGGCCTGGCTGTGACCCCAACACCTGTTCCTGTCGTGGGCAGTCAGATGACTCGACAGGCCCGGCGGCTCTATGTGGGCAACATCCCATTTGGCATCACAGAGGTGAGGTTCTTTATTATTTGACATCCTTTAGTATTTTGTTGTAGTGGAACGTAGGGCTGGATGATTAATCGAAAAGTAATCTAAGCGTATAACCAATGTCATTTTGCCATGTTGGTTGTTCAGTTTTTTTAATGCTATTAAAGGGTTCTTTCACCCAAAAATGAAAATTCTGTCAGTATTTACTCACCCTCATGTTGTTCCAAACCTCTATGTGTTTATTTGTTCTGCTGAACACAAAGGAAGAATGTTTTAATCAAACAGATCTCATTCCCCATTGACTACCATATGTATTTTTCCCTACAATGGTAGTCAATGGAGAATGAGATCTGTTTGATTAAAACATTCTTCCAAATATCTTCCTTTGTGTATAGCAGAACAAATAAACACATAGAGGTTTGGAACAACATGAGGGTGAGTAAATACTGACAGAATTTTCATTTTTGGGTGAACTAAGCCTTTAATATATCCGCCCACTGTGTGTTAATGTACTTTCCCCTTTAAACATATTACTGCGTGTTACACGCTAGGGTGGGGCGATGTCTACTAATTTCGATGTTTAGCCGATGCGTCTAAACATTGTGATGTCTGTCCCAACCCTATTACACGCAGTGTCTGTCGTTTGGATTCAATAAAGATTACACCGGACAAACTCAAGTCTAATGCAAACACTGCTCAAAAAAGAGACAAATGCCCAGCAACAAGTGCCTCCACCAAGTAGGTCTTGATAACACAAGCATTTTACAAATCCTATACAATATGAAAAGGATTCAAGAAGATGGAAAGAAATAGTATATTTTACTTTTAAGATGGCAATATTTAGAATTTATTTTGTTTACAAAAATAACTATTTTTAAAAGTTCTTTATTTTCAACTTTCTTTTTACTTTAAAACTTAAATTACTTTTATTATAAGACTTTTTTTTTTTTTTTTTTAGAGTCGCGATTATGATTTTAGCCCTATTGGAATGTGTGATGATCTTTCTGTCAACGTTATAGTGAATCCAACTGTATTTTTTAAATCGTAGTACAACCAATTTTTTTTTTAAGCTTTTCTTTGTTCTTGCTCCAGTATAATAATAGCAGTGCTTTCTAATTTCCTTTATAAATATAGGAGTCTATGATGGACTTCTTCAATGCTCAGATGCGTTTGGGTGGCCTTACTCAGGCCCCAGGAAACCCAGTCCTTGCTGTCCAGATCAACCAGGACAAGAATTTTGCCTTTCTTGAGGTCAGTCTTCATTCTGAGCAGTAGAGCCTCTAAAAATCATTCATAACGTTTTGGGAGTGTAATATGAATGTTATTTTTGTTTCTTAATGCAGTTCCGCTCGGTGGATGAGACCACACAGGCCATGGCATTTGATGGCATCATTTTTCAGGGACAAAGTTTGAAGATTCGCCGACCACACGACTACCAGCCTCTGCCCGGCATGAGTGAGAATCCCAGTGTCTATGTCCCAGGCACGTCACTCTTTTGCTCCCCCAATTCTTGTACGCTCAATGTTTTGCTCTCTTCAGTCATAATTTCATTGAAACATTAGTGATTTAATGTAGATCATTTTTGGTCACACTCTGGTTCTCTCTCCCTAGGTGTCGTTTCCACAGTGGTGCCTGATTCGGCCCACAAACTCTTTATTGGTGGTCTGCCAAATTACCTCAACGATGACCAGGTTAGTGTTAAAATAGCATTATGCGGCAGCAAGTTCCGGTCACTGAGGGCTGCTGAGCTAACTATTGATTGGGCAGAACTGATTTCCCAGTATGTTTTATTTGCCATTGTTCTGAGTGTGATTTAAAGTAGAATTGTTTTGACCAAAGTTTTTGCATAACTTGGCATGGCTTGTTGTTTTTAGTGGCTGTGCGTTCCTTAACCCCTGATGACAACACCAGCTACAACAATGTGATTATGATAGCTTTTGATATTAGCATATTGATTATGATTTTGGCAGATATGTTAATCTTTTGTCTGTGCCAGAGTGAAAAAAAAAACTTTTCATGCTCCTCAGAACAGATGGATCCATGATATTAAAGCCTTTAAGTTCACATGTTTGCAGGGTTGCGATGTCCGTGTAACAAATCTAGCCCAGTTGCCAATCAGAAATAGCGCAAATATCAAAATTTAAAATGCACTCCACATACTAGGGATGCAACG